TTCGCTGTTGCACGATTGTGCAGTACCGTCCGATTAACTGCCACGACCTCGGAGAAGGCCGGCTTGAGGTGGAATTGTTACACTTCATCGTTTCGTCGGGTCAGTGAGGTACCTGGGGCCCACTTTATGAAAAGGTGGCAACCAACTGAACCGCTAAGGGTATTCCAAATGGCCATGGGTGCGGATATCGCTTGACATCAGATGTACCGTCAGCCCGCTTGCCACAAAAAAATAATGTTACAGGCAGTTGTCCTTCCTGTCCAATAGTCTGGCCTATCTAACGTGCAAGCAAGTCCATGGTCGATCATCATAGAGTTATAACCGCTTATTTGTTTCACAGATAAACGTACAGTCGACGCGATAAAAGGGCGCTTTTTTAATGGCATTGACCTTATACCGAGAGCGTTATTTGTTTTTCGGACGAATAAAAGTATGAAGTCGACGATATTGAGTTATAGTCGTGTTTTAACATTTATACGATTTCTTATAAAACCATCGCATATTTGAAAGCCATTTCAATGAAAGCCATTTCAATGCCAGAACTCTCTAAAAAACTATTTTAATAATGTATGAGCATTGATTTTTGGCCTATATTAGTGCGTTATACCTCAATCTCGGTGCAATGAAGGTGGTCATTATGTACTTTAAATAACAAAACTATTTTAATATAAAAAAAAAATATTAAAAACAAAATAGTACTCTTATTTGTTTTATTGGCCTTAGTGCGTTAAAGACCTCAATCCCGCTAAATCCACTCTATCCTACGCTGTGTGTTAGTGTGTGTTATGAAGGTACGTAGGCACTACTGGCACACATATAACAGTGGGCCATTCCTTTCTATTTGCATGGTGAATGAAAATTGCAAACAACTCTTTACTTCAATTCTTACACATTGGCTGATAATTAAACTAAATCTTGGGCCATTACTACGGTCATGACCGAACTGTGTACTAACAGGATTGTTCTACAGACACAGGCGGTGATTTAGGATATACGTTTTAGCTTTGAGTTTGGATATATTAATGGGAAATTATTTCACTCTAACTCAAACTTTTAGTTCCTGCGAAATGCGCAACGCGAAGAGACAGTGTATCAGTCACATGTGCGTTAATAAGGAATAAATAATGATTTGATACAATAATATAATGATAATAGTTTATTTTGTCATTTAGTATTTGAGTATTATAATAATATTCTTTAAAAATAAATTTGTAATTTCTTCTTTTACTGATAGAGAAGATATTATTTAATTAAACTGCATGAGTGTTGACTTTATTAGGGATATTGGTTATTGATAAACGCACAATCGTTATTACGTGAACATAGGTTTTTTTGACCAATGACTGAAATTTTCCTCTACGTCAGTATAATGAATAGATAGTTTTGCGATTCCCAGTGTAATTAAAGACAGAAAACGACATGAAACAGCCTAAATATAGCATAGCACGCGATGCTACTATATACAGCATGTCTTTACAATCGCGACAATAAATGAACACACATATAGAGGATAACTTTTTAAAATTGTATTAAAAATTTACATTCTTTAAACATCAATATTTACCGAGTCATTAAATTTTCCAAAACAAAGAATTTTAGAACATCCTTGCGTATAAAACTGTAACGTGAAGTTCATTTGGAAAGGTCACAAATGAATTTAAAAGAGACAAAACATACTGTTAGAAGGAGAGGCTTGTAATGCCACGCTATGGCAACGAATGAAAAAGTCTCTGAATGTATGAATCTGGCAGTTGTAGTTGTATAGGATGTTACAAATTTTGTTTACTTAATTAGATTGTTTGAAAAATATGTTTTTTTAATTATGTATTTTTTTAACGTTAATATTTTTTATGATTATTGGCAAGTAGCGTTAGACGTGTGTTCATTTATTGTCGCCGTTTTAACGACACGCTGTATAATGTGTGGCATGACATGCCCTCATCAGAATTTAATGGCAAATACAGCGACCAAACCTTTAAACCTTTTTTTAGATGTATCATTATGAAAATTAATTTTTAAGTGTCGAAGTGCCATTAAATAAGCAATGTTTTTTAGATTTAGCGATATTTGAGTCAGTGTTGAACACAACTGAACGGTAAATGATTATCGAACTACTAATGTTAATTTTAAAATTTTACATTTGCTAAACCCATTATGTTTGTAAATGTTGTATACTGAAACACATTTTATAGTACCATAATAGCAAATTTTAGAGTGCCATAACGGTAATATTTCCCATACTGGTAAAATGATAATATGTAAAGTCCATGAGAAATTTGCATCCGCTTCTTTCTCGACTTCGTCAAGTTCGCCCCAAAAAGCAAAAGTTCGCCTAAGTCCACTTGTAATTTCTTGTAACTACGAAATTACAAGTGGACTTGGGCTTGATATTTTCATTAATCATCACGAATAAAAAAGATGATTCAACCTCGAACTATACACATCCAAGTTTGATTGCAATGATTTCACAGATTTATACCGTTTAATTGCCTTTTAGTATTACCGATGTTTCGATCACTACGACATTCACGGTCCGTGGACTCGTGATGCGCAGTATATAAGTTCTCGGGATACAAGAAAATGTTATCAAGGCTATGTTATTTGTTTTATCTACTGACATTCAAATAACTTAAATATCGAAGCCTCCAATTACATAAGCGAAGTCTAGACGTAGGCTGAGGTCGAATGTTTTCTCTGTAGTTGTTCAATCCGGGCTGTAAACAGACGTGTCTGTGTGCGTTGTACCTCTGTGTGAGATAGTTGATAGACGGTTTGTCGGGTTTATTGGTCAATAGTTCGTCTCCGCTACGTCAGTGTTGCGCGCGCATCCCGCATCCCCCTTCTGCCTTCACCCCCGGTTAGGTTAGCCATGATGTCTGCAAAATATCTGGGACACAGCATCTAATCGCGACTTTGCCAGCATTGATACTTTCGAAACTATGTAACGCATTTATTTACTGATTTATTAAATGTTACACAAGTCTAGTGCCTGAGCCATTTTCTACCAGTCAACCTATTACGTGATGCCGAGATAAAAGAAGTTTATATCGAAATAGAACAAAGGAATTTAATTAAATGTAATTTCCTTATGTTAGTATAAACGATGAATTTAAAATAGAAGACACCACTTTATCTGGTTTCTGTTCTAAAATTTTTTTCTGCCACAGCTGACAACTTTATGGTATTAACTTTCGCCAGCCTTCAAGAATCCTCTTATCTTAGAGGCAACGTTTTTAGTTAAAATTATTAATCTCTTAGTAAAGAGACTTGCCTATTCCGTATAATTTGGTAACCAATAACATTTATGACTCGCTGTTAATAAACACTGATTTGTTGCATCGTGACGGCAACACTTTATTTTTGCTGAGATTTTCGCCAAAACTTGATTACCTTTCGCTCGTGCATTGTAATTAATGTTTACATTTAACAAATACGATTTAAACAAACAAATCCGCGGAAATAGGTGAACGTTGTTTAACCTATCTTCGTACTTCTGACCTTTAAACGACTTGGCTATATGTACTTAGTTACGGTCGCTAGGTGACGTATCGAACAGTACTGCGAGTTGTTCCAACGTACCGGCTATAATTTATGGCGTTTTAACACACAGGCGAAATGTATGCTATGCAGTTGGATTTATATTTAAGTATTATGTAAACACTAAAACTTTTTGGGCACAGCAATGTATGGCGGGAATATTTGCAGGAACACGTCAATAGCTCAGTGCTGTTTTAATCTTTCAGTAACTAATAACCATACAGTATAACTGTATGTACCTACTCATTAAAATAAATATCTCCTGAATAAACCGATTCGAATTTGTCCAAAAGCCTAAGCATCAGATATGTTTTCCATCTATATTCGTAATTACCTTTAGAAACAATGACAATATTATTTACAGTATATTAACGAATGACAATTTATTATCTATTTAAAAAAATAACAAAACACGTATTTTACAAACAATAAGTTATCAAGGCTGTAATAGAGATTTTATATTGCAAAGACATTTTAAAAGGATATCGTTAAATCTGCTAAAATAATAAGAAAACATAGCTTAATATCTGTTAGGTATTGTACGTTTATATCAGTCGAACAATTGCTGTCTGCTCAGTGAGATTACTGCAGTAGTCACCTTCATAAATCTCATGGCAACTCAGGCGACATCATCGTGACGGTTTGTCGTGATAATTATGATAAATTATCTAACCTAATTAAAAACTAAAAATTCTCTCGGAGAAAGATGTTAAAGTGACACAATTTCTACGTTAAATTGCACTTCGTGTGCATATCTTAGTTTTTATATGAGAAGGTGGCAGGAGAGTTGATGGTTCACCTGATGTTAAGTGATAACCACCGCCCAAGGACATTTGCAACACCCTTAGGGTTGCAGATGACTTAGTGGGCCGCGGCTACCGCACTCACCTGACGAAACGTACAAGTGTAACACTTCCACTCCGGTCTTCTGCAAGGTCGTGGTATTTACTCATACGGACCTGCCCATACGTGCAAACAGTGAAGATTTGCGTGGCCCTGCCACATAAGAAAGGATGTACAATTTTGCCATACTTGTTTGTTTGTTTCCTCCTTTGTTTGTTTCCTTAAATTAGCTTCATAACTTACAATAGCACAGAATACACAATAGAAACTGAGTATATTGACAATCTTATATGTAAAAATGGATTGCTGTTCGTTAGTCTCGCTAAAACTCGAGAATGGCTGGACCGATTTGGCTAATTTTGGTTTTAAAATATTTGTGGCAGTCCAGGGAAGGTTTTAGAAATTATGGAAAATTGCACGGAAAATTGAAATAGCAACAATTTTATTTTCCCATACAAATGTACCTGTCAACTATGTCTGTGTAACCTGTCAAACACTTTATGCGTGCGTTCCGATTCCTCTAGAAATAATTTATATAGCAAAACAACGTTTGCCTGGTCAGCTAGTAAGTAATAATAGTTCATATAGAGTCATTTGCATTACCTTTTACTCTGCTTCAGGGATGCTCACCAGATCGACCTGCCGCCGTTCGGCAAATACGCCACCGGCATCTTCTTCCTGGACAAGCTGCACCACCAGGACATCGAGAGGAAGTTCAAAGAGCTGGCCGAAAGCCTCGGACTCCGTGTCCTTTGCTGGAGGACTGTTCCGACCAATAACACCACCATCGGTAAGCAACTTGCAGACCTTAAGATATTTTCATCATATTTAACATCGTTAACGGTTCGTTACGACTTGCACCACGTTTTTGTTTACAAGTTGTTTTAACGCTTCAGAAAATGATAAATCATTTAAACACACAATTGCTTACAAAATAGTTCATATCTCACGGCCAGGCCATCTCGACCGGCGAAGTACCTGGACACGTCTCGCGTGAAGTAAAAGTATTTGGTTACCTGTGGTAGGGCCACGCATTACCTAATACCGTTGCACGAATGGGCAGGCTTGTCCTAGGAGTACCACGGCCTCAAAGATACCCTTCGTTAAGTGGCAGTATCATACTTTCGCATGTCGTCTGGTTAGTGAGGTAGCCGGGACTCTCTTTTAAAGCTTAGCAACGAATCTGCAACCCCTAATTTCCGAAGTTTTCGCATGGAAAGAAACTGGTTTACAATACTGCAGCATCTGCCGCGCTGTAGCGTCATATCAATTTTAGTTGTTTAGTTGCCGTCATTGAAATGTAAGAAACAAAACTGAAAAGATTTTTAGAAAATAAAAAAATTATTATTTGTGTTATTCCACTTTTTTTTTCGTAGTTCTAATTCGACAACAGTTATTTTTTTATATAAACATGTTGCAATGACTTTAAAGACGCAATTGATTAAATTTGATTTGTACTTTAGTTAATGTTGTTTACTTTTGGAACTATCAATGGTGTTCGTAATGCCAGCGTCCATGACGCTGTAACTGATAAAAAAAATTGTTTAGTTCCGTATTGAATCGCCTTTTAATTTGTTATATAACGTTATAATGAGACGTAGTTATGTTTATTTTATAATTTTTATGTTATTTCCAAGATTTCTCTTTTTGGTGGGTCTGAAATGAAACCACGATTTATTAATTATCAAACATTTCATGGATACGCGAGTTTCTTTCCATGTAATAATTTGTTTCCATTTCGTATTGAAAATATAACACACAACAAATGCTCTATTTTAAACGCCAATGGTCAATCAGTAAATAGAACGATGAGAACCGAAGACCTAACATTAAAGATATGCCAAGTTCAGTATTAAAGATCTGATAAACTACTAGAAGCAGTTGCGAAGCTATGGGCTTCGGCGAAGGGTTCGTGGGTTCGATTCTCACACGGGACAAGTGTTTGTGAGCCACATATAATTATTTCGGACCTGGGTGTTTGTTCCCAGGGAAGATTGACTGTACTGTACCAATCGTAAAAAAACATTTCAAATACCAGTAACAAAATGTCTTACATGTTGTTAGGACTCCAAATAGTAACGCGATTGATGAACGCTAAAAGACGTCTCTTTCAATAAAGTAAAACTTACGGACCAATCACCTTCATGTCCCATACCATTGAATGTCCAACTTCATTAAAACACAAGATATATGTATGTAGATGCGCCGTTGCGTTATGTTTGCCGACTATCATTGCAGGTGGTACACGTAAAAAAGAATTGCTTGGGCCGACGCGGTCATGCGATGCTTGACCATCTGGTTTGTTGAATTTGACAATACGCGGTGGCACGTAAATTGCGTCTCATTTTGCCCTCGCTCCGATAATGTCATAAGTAGCGTTTTCGGACATCAAACTTCACTCGAATGTGTCGGATCGAGTGCAAAGTGAGTGTAGCACTCATGGTATCGCTCTATAAGAAGTTATATATTTGTAACGCAGTCCGTTTGAAGTTATTAAAGACGCGGCTTGAATGACAAATTGATTGCGACAGATGAAATGAAACAAACTGAATGCAAACTCGTTACAAATATATGGATCACAAATCATTACTGAATATTTATAGTACGGTCCGGCTCTATCGATATTTTGAATAAAGTTTTTGATTTGTTTAGTATGTGAAATTTTTTTCTATAAACAATAAATTCCTATAACATAGAACAATGTTATACGAACGATAGTGCCTTGACAGTACAACTGACGATATATGATATAGTGTGAATTAAATTTTGAGATTTTATGACTCGTTTGAAACATGGATTCGTTACGCATTGTTGTGACTGCATTTATCATGTCGTATTTTTGCAACATTTGTTATTGCAAAACGTTCAATGTTCCATCTCGAGTTATACCGGTTCGCTTATACTCGTATACATTATTGAGTTTAATGAATTTATAAACCGTTTGAGATGATGCCATTAAGTCACGACAAATGCTCAAGCTTAATAGTCCAGACATAAACCGTGTCTTTTTCATTCAACTGGTTAATACCACGAATGCTACCGAAAAATAGGCTGTATAAAGTGTTGGTTCGTTTTAAATGACCCCGAAGTCAAGTAACGGTCGTCTTCGGCTCGCTTTCAGGTCAAGTGGCCCGCAATTCGGAGCCGTATATGCGGCAAGTGTTTGTCACCGGCGACATCGAAGACGAAGAGCAGCTGGAGAGGCAGGTAAGCGGCCACCGTACGGATGCGACCACCACACGGATGCGAGATAAAGTGCGATAGAAGACTGAGACGGAAGACGGGTATGAACGCGCAATGCGTGCGCGTTGCGCTTTCAAAGCCTCTCCCGCGTCGAATGTGGTCAAAGAACTCTTAGAGCATTCTTTTCAGATGGACGCCCCGGAAGCCGGTTGGCGGTGGCGGCGTACCGACCCGTCGCAAACGTAAATTGACACATCCATATCATCTCCTCTCCCCTTTCGCGTTTAGGTTTGTTCACGTTTAAATAAAAGAAATAATCCGTTCGATACACAGTTCTCCTTTCGCAATCCTCTCGAATCTCGCCTGGTCAGATCGCAGTACGCGGAGTTGTGCGTGTTCTCAGATCTTCGTGCTGAGGAAGCGCGCCAGCCACGAGCTGGTGGTGCCGGGCGCCAGGTTCTACATCTGCAGCCTCTCCCTCAGGACGGTCGTTTACAAGGGCCTGCTTACCTCCAATCAGCTATGGGTAAGAATAGATTTCCATCCATTCGTCTAATTAATTGTTGCTTGCCCTACCACAGTATAATTGTGTCAATGAATACAGCATAACTTAATCGTATCTTAGTGCCTAGCCCACTCTGAAAACCAAGCTAAGCACATAATATCGACTACGTCGTAGATTCGACTCCCATACGGGACACTGTTTGTGTGGTCCCCGGATAATCGTTTTTGGGTCCTGGTGTTTGTCTATCTGTATCTAATATGGGTATAGGCTTAATATTTTTAAAACGGTCTTACAACACAGGATAACGTTATTCTAGTAAGAACATTGTTATAAAAAAGAAAACTCACTCGTGAACTACTCGATAGCTTCAATTATAATGTTACAAACCTTTACTAATAACATAATGAAAGAAGAATTTTGTGAGTTCATATTTATATTAAGGGGGAGTTTTCTTGTTATCCTTTTACATTTTTTAGAAATTATTGGTATCTGAAAACATGTTCAACTGTGTTAAGACACTATGTAAAAAGTTCATAATTTCATCGCTATTATTCTCTTTTCAACGCAGGAGTACTTCAAGGACTTGAGCAACCCAGCGTTCACCACTTATTTAGCGTTGGTCCACACCAGATTCTCAACCAACACCTTCCCCAGTTGGGAGCGGGCACATCCATTGAGGTGAGACAGTATAAAAAGACCTAAATTCGTTATTAATACTCTGTTTTAACGTCAATTTTAAAAACAATGAAGTTTTTTAATTCTTCACATGGTCTCTAGCAATAGTTTTCAATGTAAAAAATGTATACAGTCATCCTTCCGTCCAAACATTCCGTCACTAAGCGTAATAGATTTTACATTACTAGATTGAAGAACGGTGGTACGGAACGGTGGTAGGGCCACGCAGCAGCCTCGGCTGTTGCACGAATGGGCAGGCTCGTCCGGGTAAGTACCACGACCTCACAGAAGACCAGCGTAAAGTGGAAGTATGACAAATACTTTCGCGTTTCGTCTGGTGAGTGAGGTAGCCGGAGCCCAATTTTCAAAAGGTTGTCAACGCATCTGTAACCCTCGGGTGTGGCAGATGTCCATGGGCGGCGGTATTCACTTAACATCAGGTGAACCGTCTGCTCGTTTGACAACTTTTCGCACAAAAAAAAAATACTGCGGATTTCATTACGTTTTAATTTCATTCATGATATTTCGATGACTCCGTGGCGCTATGGCCAGGGCTTCGGCGTCGGCGGTGTGGGTTCGATTCCCACACGCGACACCTATTTGTGTGACCCACAGATAATTGTTACGGATCTTGGGTTTTTGTCCACGTGAAATTTATGTATAATTCACATGCATACGTCCTTTCAGCACGGGATAATGTTATCCTACAATAACGGAAATGTTTTCAACTTAAAAATAAACAAGATTGAAGAATTTATTTTATAAATTTAGAACAAAAATTATACACCTATATAAAATTTTAATACTCCAGCTATTGTCGATAGAGAGTAACATTTACTAGAATAATAAACGAAGAGTTCCTCTCAGTTTATTCAAGATTGTCGGCAATTGATGTCTTCTTTTTCGCAGAGTGCTCGCCCACAACGGGGAGATAAACACGTTGCGAGGTAACGTCAACTTGATGAAAGCGCGCGAGGGAGTTATGAAGAGCGATCTATTTGGCGATGGTGAGTCATCCCTGAGTAATTAACCTGAGGAGCTTGAGATATATATTCATAAGGCGTTGTTGCAGTGAGGCTATATTTAGTTTATAAGTTCATAGGTGGTAAGGTTTTCGCTTCACCGAGCGCAAGTGTGTGATTGTAGTTTTTTTGAAGTAAAAGTTTTTTACTCTTAGTTACTAAGGGGTATCTGAATGCTTTCACAGTATGTATGCACGTATGTATGTATGTATGGATGTATGAATCTATGTATCTGAACTATACATTTAAAAAAGCTCGGAGCTCGAAACGCAGATGCTCGTAATTAGTTCCTTTTGTTAACTTGAGATCACTACACTCACTCCACTCACTCCACTCACTACAATCAGTCATTCACAGGCAATGGTGCTCACTGTTGCACGAATGGGCAGGTCTGTCCGGGTAAGAACCACGATATCACAGAAGACCGGGGTAGAGTAGAAGTGTTACACTTCTGCGTTTCAGCTGGCGAGTGAGGTGGCCGGGGCGCACTTCATTTAAAGGCGGCAACGCCTCTGCCCACGGGTGTCAATGGGCGGCGGTTATCACTGTTTGCGACTTTGTCACACAAAAAAACCTTTATTAATTTCGCCCGCAGACCTCAAGAAGCTGTACCCGGTGGTCGAGCCGAACCTATCCGACTCCGGCTCGGCGGACTGCGTGCTGGAGTTCCTGGCCCACTGCGGCCGCCGCTCGCTGCCCGAGGCGGTGATGACGATGGTGCCGGAAGCTTGGCACTCGGACCCCACCATGGCGGCGGGCAAGCGCGACTACTACAAGTGGGCCGCGGCCGCGATGGAGCCCTGGGACGGGCCCGCGCTCATCGCGTTCACGGACGGCCGCTACATAGGTGGGTGCGTGTGACGTCGCCGCTTGCCAAGACGGCGGCGGGTGGTGGTGACGTCACCGCGTGCTAAGATGGCGGCGGGTGGTGGTGACGTCACCGCGTGCTAAGACGGCGGCGGGTGGTGGTGACGTCACCGCGTGCTAAGATGGCGGCGGGTGGTGGTGACGTCACCGCGTGCTAAGACGGCGGCGGGTGGTGGTGACGTCACCGCGTGCTAAGATGGCGGCGGGTGGTGGTGATATCACCGCTTGCTAAGCTAGCGCTACGTCGGCGGGTAGTGAAGTGACGTCGCCGCTTGCTATAAGCTAGCGCTGCGTCGGTATGAGCACGATGTCGTGTCGCTTGCTAAGTTAATGTTACATCGGTGGGTCGTGCAGTGTGACGTCACTGCTTGCTAAGATAGCGCTGCGTCGGTTGATGGTGGAGAGTGACGTTACCGCTTTCTAAAATAACGCTACGTCGGCGGGTGTTGAAGTCGCTTGCTAAGTTAGCGCTGCTTCAGCTAGTGGTAAAGTGACGTCACCGCTTGCTAAGCTAGCGCCGCGTCGGCGTATGGTGGAGTGACGTCACTCCTTGCTACGCTAGCGCCTGGTCGGCGGGTGGTGAAGTGACGTCAACACTTGCCGAATTCATACGCCGGCGCGGAGTGCTCAGAGGAGTCATCGATTGAAAGTGACAGCACATTAGTATGATTGATTCATTGCGCTTTTATGCGCTTAAATGTGTATATCGCAATGTTGAGTTTTGTAGCATTATACCATTTTATACAGCGTGTCGTTACCATCGCGACACGCTGTATATTAACTCGTTTAAGTCTAAAGATCAGGTTCCAAATAAAGAAACTTGAGGTACTAGATTGGATCATCACGCAATCCAACATCCCATTCATTTACCAATCAATTCAAACTTTTATTCGTTTATAAAGTTTATACATGCTAATGCATGTATATAAGAATGAAACATAATCTCATTCCAATTGGAATTTTAAACATTAACTTCTGCACGTGAACAAGTAAGTGAGAATAGTAATTTGTTCACGTGTGGTTATAGCTACCGCACTGTACCGACAATTTTTCCTCATGTATATATATATATGCGATATATATATAACTATCAAAACCAATAGTATTTTAGTCTTACCTCTGCGGTGCTTACGATTTTGCCCGTGCATGTGCACTGACCTAGTCCACCCGCCCAGGGGCCATCCTGGACCGCAACGGGCTGCGGCCGTCGCGCTTCTACGTGACCAGCGAGAACATTCTGGTCATGGCGTCGGAGGTCGGCGTCTACGACGTCGACCCGGAGAAGGTCATACTCAAGGTCAGTGCGGTCGATAAGAAGAAAAAAAGTTACCTACAGGAACGGTAACGAGGGTCGAGAGTTTTTTTTTATGACGAACAAGGTTTTCAATTACGTTGTGTAGTGTTGAAGTAAAAATTAAAGTACGGCCTGTGTTTGTCCCACTGCTGGGCAAAAGGCCTACTTTTAACGGAGGGTGGACTTCATAATACGTGTTCGAAATATTGTAATTTGGTAACTAACATCCAGAACTTGGAAATTGAACTCTAGTATCTCAAGTATAGTGAATTAAAAACGAGCGCCCTAACACTCAGCTACCGCGGGTCCAATATGTATATGACAAATAGAAATACTAACAACCTAGAGAAAGTATAAGAACGTTAACATAAATAATAGTGAAGTATACAATTAACTCCATTATAATCTGTAAATATCAGGAATAGGACTACAAATTTAAATGTATTGGTAAGTCAAGTGAAAACTATAATTTATTTTAAACCTCGGATATCTTTTGAGAACATTGCTCGTGGGATATGGCATAGGTATTAAAAAAAAAAACTATACGTTTTGTTTTACAAACTAACAAATTGTAACATAAACTGTATGCGTTAATACTATAAATGCCAAACACAATAATTATCCATTTTTAAACAGTTCCTCGAGGTAGAAATCGTCGATAAATATTACTTATCTCATTTTAAGTTTCCGATTAATTCATACAATTCGAGAAACACATTTGTTTCTTAAATTTAAAAATATGGCCAGAGTTTCAATAATAGCAATGACAAACCATTTTCGAAACAATAAAATCACATAACCGTATAAGGTTATAACGAACTATTGTATCTAAATTTTTATTATCTCCAAAATGGAACATTCCAGAGCCGGCTGAAGCCCGGCCGAATGCTGCTCGTGGACACCAAGGACAAGAAGATCATTCAGGATGTTGAGCTGAAGATGAAGATCGCGAACAGCCGCCCCCACTCCGAGTGGCTCAAGGAACAGGTGAGCGGCGATTCCCACTGCTGATACGTGTCCCACTGCTGGGCAAAGGCCTCTGTGCACGCGACCCCACTGCGGATTGGCGGGCTCCATATGTCTCCGAAATATTATTTTTGTTATCATTTCGAAAATTTGCAGATTTATTCACGGTGTTTTTCTTTCCCGCTGAGCACGTGATAAGTCAGCACTTAAATTTAACGATCTTGTTAACTAAACGTCTTAGTTTATAAATTGTGGTATATAAAAAATAACAACGAAAAAGTATATCATGCATCATGTATGACATGTATTGTTTGCATACATCATATTTTATTTTATAACTTGTCACTGACAACTTTATATGGATGATATTAGTTTCGATTCAGTAACACATTTTTGAATTAAAACTTTAATTTAACTTAAATTCAATAAACGTGGCTTCGTATATCGTGAGATATGTATAATATAGATAATTTTCAATTTAAACGCGACGCCCATCTAATTTATTATGATGAACAATTTAAATTCTTTTTTTAATTAAAATATATATTTTAACTACCAATACAAAGACATATTCTCATTTCTAGCTTTTTATTTAGTGTTTCAGTACAATGTTTATATTACATGTGAATTAATAAATTAAAGTAAAACAGATCGAATGTTATTAAAGTTGTATGTTGTATTTCTATGTTCACGCCGCATATGACATGTCTGGATAATAAAAATTCGCTGAGACAGATGGTGAGTTGAGAATTACAAATAAGCCTGTAAAGCTATCCTTTTCGTTGTGCTTACGTCTCTTTCTCTCTTAGCGCACGAGAAGCGATTGCTGAAAATTAGCGCTTTCATAAATTGCTTCCTCCACGCTGATTGGACGCTTTCGTATATCTGTTGTAGACAAACTGATAGTCTCATTCGCCTTTTAATCAGGATCGTTGACAAAAATAGTAATTGTTTATTATTTAGTGAGGATCGATCATTTTAAATATAGGATAAATATTGATGTTAGTTGAATAACTGGAAAGACACGCTTACGAACAATAGATCAATATAACAAAAATAATTTATAAAGTGAGTTATTTGCGTGTTTATTTTATTCGCAAGGTGGCCATAGTTTACATTTTGTTTCCATTAATTCCTAATTTAAATAAATGAATATTTCGGGAAATTGATATTGACGCGTAGTCGCAAACTAAGCGAAGCTTTCTATAATGTATTATCAAAAGCTTAATTAAACGCATGTTATAAATATAGAAAAACAAAGCACTAGAAGGACCACAGTGTTCATCGCAGAATTGTACCGCAACACTCTTGGCACAAGAGACAGGCTGATATCCACCAATCTCACTACTGTAGCCATATGAAAATTATAACGTGTCATTATAATCGTCGCAACGCAAATAACCACAAGTTCCACTAGAAAGAAACAGTGTTCATCGCAGAATAATTTCCGGTAGTAAGAATCGAAACACGAATTCTCACATTCAATATCCACCGATCTCACATCTGTAGCCAACAACATCTTCTCAACTGTGGTAGGGCCACGCAGCAGCCTCCGCTGTTGCAGGAATAGGCAGGCTCGTCCGGGTAAGTACCACGACCTCACAGACGACCGGCGTAAAGTGGATGTATGTTAAATACTTTCGCGTTTCGTCCGAGCCCAATTTTCAAAAGGCTGTCAGCGCATCTGTAACCCTCGGCTGTAGCGGATGTCCATGGGCGGTATTCACTTAACACCAGGTGAGCCGTCTGCTCGTTTGGCAATTTACACATTAAAAAAAAATCGAATCGTGCCCTGGTCCGCGGGTATCGATATCGACAATTCTCCCGTTCCTCACTGATCACACGTCTGTATCCATAAGTGGTCATCGTAACCGTCCGTTCAGATAACCATGGAGGAGATCCACAAGTCGGTGTCGCTGTCGGGCGTGGGCAAGGGCGAGGGCGCCGTCTCCGGCCTCTCCGACCGCCGGCTGGCGCTGTTCGGCTACACCGTGGAGGCCATCAACATGCTGCTGGTGCCCATGATCGAGAACAAGTGAGTGCCACGAGGAAATCGCCCCTTCATCACCATGACAGAACCCAAGTCCGGTATAATTGTGATAGGAACACACCTCCCGTAGATTACCAAATGAAACTTTTTGAATTTTTATAATGCTAATTAGTCTCTACACTGAAGATGAGGCATTCAATCAATCAATCAAAAATCTTTATGCAAATAGACGCTTGCGCGCTCTTATGAATCGTCAAATTTTACATCAAAGATTATGTGTATAGGTTCGTAAGGTACCACCGGTTCGGAAAGCGGTTTCTGTTGAGAAGAGACCGGCAAGAAACTCAACAGTTGCTCTTTTTCAAATATATCAGTTTACAATATAAAATACCGCTATAATAGTCTTATTCTACCCTACATGAGTATCAACAGTATTAACTCCTCATTACAATTTTTAGAAAAAAAAAAAATGGACGAAAATTTGTTCTCCGCTGCGGGAATGTCACCCATGTCGCTCGGAGACTTTAACCGCTAAGTTGAACGGCTCGATTACCACACCGACGAAAACCTCTAGGTATTTTATCGCGTTTACCTTTAATTTTACTTCAGAATGTCCCGTAACCATGGACACTGCAAAGGCTTTGAAACGCCTGAATATGAAATTAAAAATAAACGCGATACATAAAAAACATATCAGGCCATTGCGTAAATGTAAGAAACAATCACCTATCATTGAAATTGTCCATTTTCAAATATTACATAAGACACACTAGTGTACCAATTGCGCCCTATTATTATTATTATTATTATTATTTTGCAACCCAATCCGTAATACATATTATTTTTTTGTTATCCTTATTCTATTGTTCCTTGTTTATTTTTATTTTATACATGTTTTTATTTAATTCTCCTTGCCATGCCGTTGATCATTTTTTCGTGAAGTTTGAGCCAACAATTGAGGTGACTCCTATCTTTTGTTATCCTAATTTTTTTGAAGACTTCTTCCGACGCGTTTGAGAAAAATTATTATTGTAAATTTTTACGATGCGCGATAAGTAAAGTCCATAGGAAAAATCCAAAAGACGCGATAGTCGGCTTCGACACAGCACTGAACCCACACCCCTCGCAGGAAGGAGGCGCTGGGCAGCATGGGCAACGACGCCCCGCTGGCCTGCCTCTCCCAGTTCCAGCCGCTGCCCTACGACTACTTCAAGCAGCTGTTCGCCCAGGTCACCAACCCGCCCATCGACCCCTTCAGGTAAAACCCGGCTGCAGACGCCAATCGATAGCGTTGACCATAGTATTGTCTACTTCCGAAAGATTCTAGACATTTTACAGGCAAATTGGCTCTCTTTATTGAATAAACAAAAGTTGGAACTGTGGTAGTTCCGCTCAAGTCTTCACTGTTCCATCGAGGGAAGTACCTCCACTTCACAGAAGATCGGCGTGGAGTGGAAATGTTATACTTTTGCGTTATAGAGACTAAACTGAACAAAAACATGCCAACTACTGCACTCAGTTTTTAAAGATGCATAAGTAATTTTAATAGGGAACATGCTCAAAATCAGCACGGAGAACTTTTCTCGGAAATCGCTGAGCCGTTTTATCACCTTTTGCCCAAATGTTATCTATGAGCGTTTCTATAATACACAAAAACTTCAGATTCAAATGAAATTCAAATGTTTTTATCTATAAATTATCTTTAAATGAAATGAACACATTAAAAATGCAGGCTTGCCTTTTGAATGATCATTTGACAGTCATTTAATTGAACTTACTAAACCTTAAGCCGATAAGGTTTAAGATTGTTTTTTTTTTGTGCTGAGTTTTGTAGCTAATGTTTTATTGCCCACATATTCGTATATTATAAACAGGGAGAAAATAGTGATGTCGCTGATGTGCCCCATCGGACCAGTGGCGAACATCCTCGAGCCGAGTGCCGAATTCGTCCATCGGCTGTTCCTGCCGCAGCCGATCCTTTCGCTGCCCGACTTGGAAGCCCTCAAGAGGAGCACACATCGCGGATGGCAGGTAAATTTACAATCAATGGTACCGATACGATATATTCAACTTTTGTTAAAAAAAATTCCTCGCTGAAAGAACAGTTTTGGTGTATGAGTTATTTATTTATGCAGTATCTTTTAATTGTTTATTTTAATCATTGTTATATTAAATATAAATTGTTATATTTCGGTCAATATTTTAAACTTGATTCGTCGTTTTTCTATTTAATCAAAGTTTTAATTACACGATGTATTTGAATAATAAAGTTTTGTTATTGAATGGTTGGTGAACGCTATCAGTTTGATGGTTGTTCTCTGAACCACAATTTGCCTTTATTTTTCTCAAAACGGCTGTCATGTACGACCGCCGATTAAATTATCATAGTGTATTGTGATGTTTTATTAAGGAAACGCTTCATACAGATCGTCTTTTAAAAATTGTTTTTGTACATAAAACATTTTTTTTTTGTTCGCCAGAAATATATGTAATTTACACTTGGCCCGCGCAACTTCGTCATTGCCAATTCTACGGGGTTCATACGTCTCTACTTTTAGCATAGCGGATACTTACTCAATCCAGCTGATAAATTTATATTACACCGCCATCTGTTAAAATCTTATGGGATTCACAGATAGTTCCTTGTCATGTAATAAACAAATAATTTGCAATAACAAATATTGAGATAAAAACTACCCTATCTCCCAAGTCGAACCAAATTACAAATGCTTACAAAACTTGATAAAAATTGTCTGAGTAGTTTCGGAGTTTATCGCGAACATACATCTAGTAATGCATGAACTCGTAAATTGAAAAGGAGAATCTCCGTGCGCAGACGCAGGTGATCGACTGCACGTACGCGCACACGGAGGGGCCGGCGGGTCTGGCGCCGGCGCTGGGCCGCGTGGCGGGCGAGGCGTGCGCGGCGGCCGAGCGCGGCGCGCAGCTGCTCGTGCTCAGCGACCGCGCCGCCGGGCCCACGCGCGTGCCCGTCAGCTCGCTGCTCGCGCTCGGTACGCGCCGCGCCCCGCCTCCTCACGACCGATCGCAACCCGATCGAACTCATCCCGACCGATCTCAACCCGATCGAACTCATCCCGACCGAACTCATGGCAACCGATCTCATTTCACCCGATCTCATATCAATCGATATCATGCCAACCGAACTCATGTCAAATGATTTTATCGCAATCATTCTCATATCAACCTCAGTTTTAGCAAACTCTTCCCAACCGATCTCATGTCAAATCTTAAATAACATCAACAACATACATACATCTATCATAATTTTAACACATTTCATACGATACAAACTCATGCTCACTATATTCAATCTCAGTTCATCTCACCACACTCTTATCCACTACCTTGACCCTTCTCAATAATCGATTTAAAATTGTTAAAGATTGTTCAAATTTGATTTGTTCTTCTTTGTTTGCACGACGACAAAATCTTTTAATCATAACATTTAACGAAACGCTTCACTTGTGTAGTTTTACTTTTACGCACAAATTTCGACCTTTAATCCAACCATAGTCTTAGTTGTAGCAAGGCAATCAAAATGAAATCTTAATATTACAGCAGTTTTATAATGATTCTTATAATTGTCTATTATCCTCAGGCGCTGTTCATCACCACCTCATCGAGACTCGTCAACGTATGAAGGTCGGCATTCTGGTTGAGACTGCCGAGGCGAGGGAAGTCCACCACATGTGTGTATTACTGGGTAAGTCAAATTTCATTTGCTAAATATGATGTAGGTCGTGAATATGAACAATTTTAAATAGAATGAACCCAAGCTGTTATGTCTTGTCTCACAATAAGCTTAAACAATGATCACACAAGTATAACTCGTATGTATTGATTTCCAAGTGATTTCACTTTAACATGTATAGGACTAAATCAAATGAAAGACGCCTGCGTGCAAGCGAATAACATCCGTATGATAATAGTTTTAAAGGTTTTATTAGCATGTAAATTAGAGTTTACAATCTCCCCTGGTAATAGTCGACTAACTTAACTAACTCGCTCGTTCAAAGGAATAATATACCTTCACCATGTGCTTGTAATATTCGAGCAAGTTTAATAAATTCGTCTGCACGCGAATCGCAGCTGTATTCTTCACAAGTTAAAACTTATTTCGGCAATATATCCGTCTTGTAACGCTCGGGCAACTTTAATAGATGCACCTGAATTGCAGCCGTATCCCTAAGCGCTTAAAGCTTATTTCGGCACTCTACCTTCTCCGACTCCTTGTAACGTTCGAATTACTTTAATAAATGCACGCGAATTGCAGTCGTATTCTACAGCGTTTAAAGCTTATTTCGGCACGCAGGTGCCTTCACCGTCTCCTTGTAACCATTTAATAAGTGCACGCGAATTGCAGCCGTATTCCACCGAGCTTAAAGCTTATTTCGGCACCTTACCTTCACCGTCTCCTTGTAACGCTCGATTTAATATGTGCGAAGGAATTGCAGCCGTGTTCAATAGACGTTAAAGTTCATTTCTGCTCGCAGGCTACGGCGCCGACGCGATCTGCCCGTACCTGGCGTTCGAGCTGGCGTTCGCGCTGCGCGACGACGGCGTACTACCGCGGGACCTCCCCGACGAACAGATCTACGCCGCATACCAAAAAGCCATCGAGACCGGCATCGCCAAGGTCGGCGATCCCATTCTGAGCACCGTTCTATTGAAGTTTGATTTTTAATTTTTTCGCCAGCCCTGCACTCGAGACGAAGCATTAGAGTTTGTAGAAAAAATGGAAGAAAAGTTTTTCGCCGCTGCGGAAATCGAACCCAATTTTTAGAGACGGACTCATATCCCCTCCGCCTATCCTGTGACCATGAACGCTGTAACGGGTTCGGAACGTTGGGAGTTTAAATTAGAAAAAATTTAGAAGTAAACGCCTCATTTACAACATCCAAAATATCCAATATCCGGCGGTTATCATTTAACATCAGTTGAACTGCCAGTTCGTTTGACACAATCTCATAATAAAACTGTTCACAGGTGATGGCCAAAATGGGTATCAGCATGCTGCAGTCCTACAAGAGCGCGCAGATCTTCGAAGCGGTCGGCCTCAGCGAAGAGGTCATAGACAAGTGCTTCAAAGGAACCCAGTCCAGAATCGGTTCGTGTAAATTCTCACCACTACACCTCAAAGCCCACATTTGTTCATTAAAAGTGGATTTCGAATGTATTGGAATCAGGGCCGGAAAAAATCTAGCTTCTATAGGTTGGATAATATATCTTTTTAAGTATTTATTGTAGACCTCTAGATGCGTACGGTTTATGTTTTGAGAAATTTTTATCATCAAATGTGGTTATGTGTACTGTATAAACTATTTATCTAAAATATTGTTTTTTAAATCCAATGATATCCTTAAGTGACGATTCTTAAATATTTATTATCTTTCATGATTGTCCATTTCATTGTTTGCATTTTTATTTCACTCTAGGCGGTGTCACCTTTGAGATCCTGTCAAAGGAGATATTTGACAGGCACGCTTTGACGTACGGCGTAGTCAGTGATACTCTGGTTTTGAGGTGTGTACAAGACGCTGTTCTTTTAGTTTATTATATGCATGAAAGGTTTATTTTGGATACTACAAATAAAAAAAAACCTGTATTACCGAATTTTTGGGGTGTGCAGGAACCCAGGCCACTACCACTGGCGCGCTGGCGGCGAGAAGCACATCAACGACCCCGCCTCCATCGCCAATCTGCAGGAAGCGGCGGTTTCCAACAGCGCGAACGCTTACGACCGCTACAGGTACTCTTTCTCTTCTCTTGTCATCTCTTTCTCCTCTCGTCTCTTTCTCTTCAAATTGCTCTTGGACTTTCTGCGCTGGCTGCTAATGTCGCCGGCTCCGTGGCGCGGTTGCCGAGTCATTTGCTTCGGCGCCGAGGTTCATGGGTTCGATTCCTACACGAAACAACAAAAGTTTGACCCACAGGTAATTGATTCATGCCGCATACATGATAATGTTATCCTACAGTAAGGGGGCAATGTTTTCGAAGTGAAGGCTACACGATAGATCATTCTACGTCGCAGTGGTCGTTGTGACTTACTACCCGAACTCTTCCACACAAAATACAATACAACACAACACAATGTTAACTGTAATCGTCTAATCGTGCGTACTTGATGTTTTGTTTTCGAACATTCTCGAACACTCAGTGCGAGTATTTGTAATTTTAAGTTTTCAAAATACAATAAAAATGTAAAAAAAATGAACAATTGTAAACTAACAGTAAAACAGAAGTGCTTCATAAATAATTTTAAAGTTTCTAGTGAGATCTAAAGTTGGTTTTGAACTGTGGTGCCTTACCACAACGCAACAGTCTTCGTTGTTACACGAATGGGCGGTTCCGTCCTGGTAAGTACCGCCACCTCACAAAAGATCGGCGCGAAGTGTAAGTTTTATACGTATGGTTAGTGAGGCAATTGGGACCCACTATTTATTTTCGGCAACGAATCTGCAACCTTTAAGGTTGTAATTATTCATGGGCGACGGTAACCATACAACATCGGGTGAAACGCCTGCTCCTTATCCAACTTTCAACATAAAAAAGGACATTTTACGAAAATACCACGTTTTCGTAACTCACACTTCGTGAATGCAGAGAGAGCGCGCTGGAGTCGATCCGCGCCTGCACTCTCCGAGGGCAGCTGGAGCTGGTGAAGCTGGACGAGCCTATCCCCATAGACGAGGTGGAGCCGGCCTCGGAAATAGTCAAGAGGTTCGCAACAGGTACAGAGCCAGCTTTCTCACTTTATTTATTTATTTATTGTCAGGTACACCAACAGCATACAATATAATATAATATATATGTTCTTTGCTATAGGGCCAATTTTTATATATATATATATATATATATATATATATATATATATATGCCTATTACAGGTATACACAACATTGATAAAAAGAGTTAAACACACTTATAAATGAAATAAAAAAATAAAAAATAGGAAGTGGACACTAAAGATAAATTATCAGTAGACTAAATTAAACTTACAAAAGACATCGAATATGCTTGCATATTAGTAAATTGATATGTGAACTTTCGCATGAACCAAGATTTTAGCAAAGTTTGCTTGGGTTTATACATAAAACTCAATGTTGTTAGTAAGATACGATTACATATCAGATTGAAAACATCAAAAATTATATTATGTCCAAGTCGTACAAACAACATCTCTTCTCTATTGACGAAATTGAAAAACTCCTCTTATTTGACGACCCGATCGGCCTATTGGGCAGTGAACCTGGCGCAAGGCAAGGCTGCCTCTTGCGCCAGAAGATGTGGCTCCGATCCCCAAAATACTGGAAAAATATTGTATGATGAACATGGTGTTTTCTCAGTGTATGGATGTTTATATACACATGTGTAATATGTATTTATTTACAAAAGAAAAGTATGTTATTATTGTTATAGTAGAAGCGTTGCTTAGTTTGGGACTAGAGAATAAGAGTGATACTTTCTAGGGTTGGACGACCCGAGTGGCGTTGTGGGTAGTGTACCTGCCTCCTGCGCCAGAGGGTGTGGGTTCGATCCCCACTACTGGATAAATATTGTGTGATGAACAAAGTATTTTTCTAGTGTCTGGGTGTTAATATATGTATAGTATGTATTTATTTACAAAAGAAAATTATGTTTAAGTATGTTTATCAGTTTTCTAGTACCCATAGTACAAGCTTCGCTTAGTTTGGGACTAGAGAACGTTGTCCTAAATATTTGTCTACTTCAGGGGCGATGTCGTTCGGCTCGATATCGCTGGAGGCGCACACGACGCTGGCGGTGGCGATGAACCGCATCGGCGGCAAGTCCAACACCGGCGAGGGCGGCGAGAACGCCGACCGCTACCTCAACCAGGTGACCACCTCGTCGCCGACAGGTGACAGCTTTGAGGGCATGAATGTGACAGGCTTAGAGGTCCCTCACTGCTCATTTCAATATTCTATCTGTAGATAGATTTCCTCACTAGCGATAGATATTAGACATTAGCGCCACAATACTCACGGCAAAATTCTATCCCCAGTGACCTAATCTGTAGATACAATATTGTATCCGGCCGTAAAGAAACATAAATGTCATCTATCGACAGTCATTGTTTTTTTTTTCCTCTACTGTTTCTTAATGCGGTCCCTCTAACGGAGAACAGGAGAGAAAAAAGCGTTCGAGCCACTGTTAAATACCAATCGCCAGTAATCAAATCTACAGATAGATAGATAGAATATGGAAAAGGGCCGTCAGTCGATGAATATATGATTTACGATTTTTGATTCTAGGTTCATACACGATGTGGATAAACACAGAGATGATGCGCAATGAGTTTTATCAACCCCTGTTGTTGTTGTAACTTGTGTTGTTGTTGTTGTAACTTGTGTTGTTGTTGTAACCCCTGTTGTTGTTGTAACTTGTGTTGTTGTTGTTGTAACTTGTGTTGTTGTTGTTGTAACCGTGTCCGCAGGATCCGGAGTTCAACAGGCGGTCGGCCATCAAGCAGGTGGCGTCGGGCCGCTTCGGCGTGACGGCCTCCTACTTGGCGCACGCGGACGACCTGCAGATCAAGATGGCGCAGGGGGCCAAGCCCGGCGAGGGCGGCGAGCTGCCCGGTACGGGATGCGTTATTCATGGACGCGAGAAGCAGTGGCGGATCTACCGGCAGGCTAAGCAGGCTAGGTCTACGGCGGCAGATGTTAGGCGGCGACAAATTTGTAGAAAAAGTACGATAAGATTGTCGCCGCTGTGGGAGTCGAACCCACGTCTTCGGCATTCGCGGCCTGACGCTCTAGCCACTAAGCTAAACGGCTGATTGCCACACCGACAAAAATCTTAACGTCTTTTATCTACATTGTTATTTAGTATTTGAAGCAATGCTTGGCGCATCTATTGTTATATCCTTTCCAGCATACAAACAATTTCGAATATCGTTTTACAACGATAACTTCGACCGAGGGATGTCGCCGTTGCTTTTTAAAAATTTTAAGTTTTTTTTTATATATAATAACAATATAATATATACTATAATATGTATAATATATACTAATAAACACTTTATTTGTAAAAAACATGGTTGTCCATAATTATGCAACGTGATGTTATGTCATAAAATTAAGCATCGCATGTTTTTTGCTCTAGACGAGCGTACAAATATTTAATATGCTGTTCTTAGCACCTGGATTAATAGAAGTTTAAAATTTAAAGAAGAACCAAATATTAATGAAAAAGTAATAAAAATAAAATAAATAAAAATATATCGATAAGTTAACAGTGGTATTAAAAACATATGATATCTAATGAAATATACTTGCAGACTTAGAATAATTTTTATAGTGCTTTTCGTACTTTTTCTACAAGCTTTAATGTTTAATTTTTAGTGCAGAGATTAACTCTATAAAAAACTTACTCAAGAAAAACATTATACATAGACATAATGTAGGACTTTCATAACTTGATTTATTTTGTTGTCATTATTAATCGGATTGTTAACATAAAATTTAGTAGGGGTGACAAAAATTGAACAGCCCATTCGCGGCTATAATTTGTAAATCCGCCACTGAGAAGCAGAATGGAAGCCTGGATTTAGAGCGTCACATACGCAAAAATGAAACAAAAAGTTTATTGTTCTAATACTTCCCAGTCTAGGAACCAATCGCCGTGTTACGGGATCTTTTTACGGGTTTCTATCATATAAAAATCTACCTAAATAAGTTTTTATTTAAATAAACGATTACACTACCGAGTCAAAACCTCCTGTGTGAATTTGGGCACCTTTAGAAAAGCCACCCTGTATGTTATTAAGTAAAAGTAAAGTGACAGCCTATACATGTCCCACTGCTGGGCAAAGGCCTCCTCTATACAGAGGGTATCAGGGCATAGTCCACCACGCGGCCCCACTGCGGATTGGCGGACTTCACATATCTTCGAAATATATTATTTTTTGTTATTATTTCGAAAATATGCAGGTTTCCTCACGATGTTTTCCTTCACCGTGGAGCACGTGATAAGTCAGCACTTAAAGTTAAAAACTTCATTGGTGCCGGCACCGGGGATCGAACGCAGGTTGCTCGAGTATATTGAATTAAAGCCGAGCGCCCGGACACTGGGTTATCACGGCTCACGGCTAACGGATGTTATTAAGTAGGTTAAACTTATTATTTGGTGTGCAGGCTACAAGGTGACGGAGGACATAGCGCGCACGCGCTGCTCGGTGCCGGGCGTGGGGCTGATCTCTCCGCCGCCGCACCACGACATCTACTCGATCGAGGACCTGGCCGAGCTGATCTACGACCTCAAGTGCGCCAACCCGCGCGCCAGGGTCTCCGTCAAGCTGGTCTCCGAGGTGGGCGTGGGCGTGGTGGCCTCGGGCGTCGCCAAGGTAATGCCCTCCTCGACTCTCATTAAAGCAAGGGTAAATAAACCACTTCAAAAACCTACGGTCTCTTTCGCTCTCAAGAATGAATGCGATCTAATTAGGAAAATCGTAATTTTGTCTTTGTCAACAAAAGCCGATCCTAGGAAGCTGCATAACGTATAATTCGCATGCTTTCACTCTCTTCCAATCGTAACGTTTGTTCTTTAATGCACAAATCTCTATTTTACGTTTCCCGAAAGTTGATCGAACTCAGGTTGCTCGAGTATATTTAATTAAAGGCGAGCGCCCGGACACCGAGCTATCACGGCTCCAGTAGATTTCTAGTGAAGTATATTCGTTTAATGTCAAGTATTTTACCCATTTTATCGCACTGTTTCCCACCGCGTTCCGTTTATTTGAATTTAGTTTGAATTGATTAGTGTCGATCTAATACAGTTCTATCACTGAAGTGATGTACATTCAATACTTAGCATCTGAAATCGCCAACGTTCGTAAGTGTTTGAACAAGGCCAGAACGAAACAAGAAACAGTGCACCCGACCTGTGCACCGAACAGGGCAAGGCGGAGCACATCGTGATCTCGGGCCACGACGGCGGCACCGGCGCCAGCTCGTGGACGGGCATCAAGAGCGCCGGCCTGCCCTGGGAGCTGGGCGTGGCCGAGACGCACCAGGTGCTGGTGCTCAACGACCTGCGCTCCAGGGTGGTGGTGCAGGCGGACGGCCAGATCCGCACCGGCTTCGACGTCATGGTGGCCGCGCTCCTGGGCGCCGACGAATTCGGCTTCAGCACCGCCCCGCTCATTGTGCTCGGTACGTTGGCCATGCCATATTTTATTTATTTAGTGTCAATAAATAGAACGGTCATGTAAACGATGAAAAGAATAAGATAACTAAAGCTTGAAACTAAATAGGTGTGAAGTCGGCACCATTTACCGATTTCCAGTACATTCCTTTACTATTGGGATTTACTAGAAATTTACTAGAGATTTACTAGAAGCTCATAGAGAGTACTATAGACTCGAGGTGACTCAAGGCAGGCAACATATTTGTACCTTATACGTGAGCTGCGGGAATCAATTGCTAGATGACGACCCCCCACTAGATGGAGTGACGACGTGTGCAAATGTACGGGAAGTCGATGATTGCTGGTGAATTTAAATCTTGTTTCGTGGTAATGTTGGGGAGGCCTATGTCCAGCAGTGGACTTAAAAAAATTTATATACAGATGATAAAAAATGAACTACTGTGTTCACCGTCTGCTGGTCGCTGTATCTTATAATAAATGATCTGCGCAGTTGTTTATTGTACTAAGACCATTGTATATTCTGCAGTGCAGAATGACCCACACTAAATGAGAAATGTGTTTGGAGGGCTATATTTAGCAGTTTACTCAGACAGGCAGAAATAATGATGATGATATTGCATCTTCATGAAAATGTGCCAACGGATATTCTCAATAGCCGTATAGCACTCCGCGGATGAATCGTAACCGAGCTCGAGTTAATTTGACGCTTGGCAGGCTGCACCATGATGAGGAAGTGCCACCTGAACACTTGCCCCGTGGGCATCGCCACCCAGGACCCGGTGCTGCGCAAGAAGTTCGCCGGGAAGCCCGAGCACGTCGTCAACTACCTGTTCATGCTGGCCGAAGAGGTGACCGCTCACACAATTCGCATAATTATCTTTGAACATGGTGTCATAAACACGCGGAAGGGATTATGTATGTGAGAAAATTCGACAGTTTGCCCGTCTGTTCTAAATCTGGGTGACAGTCATGACCACTTACATGGTTCACATAATTTCAATACTTCTGCGATCATGATGGCGCAATATATGTCAATATCAAACTTATAACATATATGTTTTTTTTGTCGTACGCCTAGTACAGTAAACTTGATATTTCAATGATCCCACTTTTTTCAACCCAATATTTGACTAGGAGGTAATGCTGATGGCTAATAGTCCGCCTTTGTATGTAAAAAATTATAAATAATTAAAATCACTCGTAATTAATTAATTACACTAATTTTAACTTATCTCGAAATGTGCGTGATTTATGGGCAACTCATTTATTTTTCGCGCTCACATTCATAAGTAACACGCACACAAGTTCGTTGCAAAAGTATACGACGCATTTATGAATGACTACCTCATTGACAACAAGTTCTGTTTTTTAGGGAATAGAATGTCAATTTTTTGAAAAAAAAAATTGTTTTTATTGCAATAAACGATTATACTACCGAGTCTGAACCTCCTGTGTGAATTCGGGCACCTTTAGAAAAGCCACCCTGTATAATGAATAAATAACTAAATATACAAATAATAATACACGGTTAGGTGCGCGAGCACATGGCGTCGGTGGGCGTGCGCCGCTTCCAGGAGCTGGTGGGGCGCACGGACCTGCTGAAGGTGCGCGAGGGCAACGCCAACCCCAAGGCGCGGCTGCTCAACCTCGGCCCCATCCTCAAGAACGCGCTGCACATGCGCCCCGGGGTCAACATCGTCGGCGGCTCCAAGGCACAGGTGACCTTTGCCCTTTTGCCCCACTCTATTTTTTAATATTACATTTATTATAATATTTATAAAATTCTTCAAATAATTTCCATCGTATTTCATAAAGCGTAGCTGTTATTAGTTCTCGAATAATCTTGGTCCTTCGAGCCGGATTATTGCGTCATTGCAAACATTTTAATTCTTCCCGTGATATATTTAAGAAGAGCATGACAACATGCTTATCGCTTCTAAGTGCTATCTTTTCATTGAATAAAGCATAATATTGTAAATGTACAAAAATATATTCTGTTATATACGAAGTTTATGAACTTTAAGCATATGTGTCAGACGATGGCTTCATAAAATACGCTCTACTCTCAGGACTTCCAACTGGAGAAGCGTCTCGACAACCAGCTCATCGAGCAGTGCGCCGGCATCTTGAACGGCACCCAGAAACACATCGACGTCAAGATGAAGATCACCAACGAGGATCGTGCCTTCACGAGCACACTCTCTTACCACATTGCCATGTATGATTTAATTTCTTTTTGTTTATGGGGGAAATAAGCGACAAACGAGCAGGAGGCCCACCCGACGGTAAGTGATCACCGCCGCCCATGGACACCTACAACACCCGAGGGCTTACAAATGCGTTGCCGGCCTTTTAAGAAAGAGTATGCTCTCTTCTTGAAGGTTCGAAGGTTAGTTGTGACTTCATTTTGTTAGTTTTAAAGACATCACCCCTACTGTAAGATTAGAGAATAGATAGGATAAATACCCAGATCTGGAACAGTTTATCCCTAGGTAATGAAAAAAATTGGAATCGAATTCATCTGCCTGAACTCAATTGTTATCTGCATTTACTGTATAATGAATACAGGTTAATTTCTAGCTGATTTTAGGTGTCATACAAACACTCTTTCTGCACGATCTGATTCGATCCTTACTACTGGAAAAACATTGTGTCATGAATATGATGTTTTACTAGTGTCTGGTTGTTTCGTTACTTTAATATGTATACAGCGTGTCGTTACCATCGCGACAATAAATGAACACACATATAGGGGATAACTTTTTAAAGTTGTATTAAGCTTTTAAATTCTTTAAACATCAATATTTACAGAGTTATTAAATTTTCCAAAACAAAGAATTTTAGAACACCCTTACCTATAAAAGCGTAACGTAAAGTTCATTTGTAAAGGTCACAAAGCATATGAATGGGTTGAATGAATTTTAAAGAGACAAAACATACTGTTAGAAGGAGAGGCTTGTAATGCGACGCTGTGGCGCGAGTTGTATAGGATGTTACATTTTGTTTCTTTTTTAATTAATTAGTTTGTTTGAAAAATATTTTTTTTTAATTATGGATTTTGTTTAACGTTAATATTTTTTTATGATTATTGGCAAGTAGCGTTAGACGTGTGTTCATTTTTTGTCGCGATGGTAACGACACGCTGTATATTTACAAAAGAAAAGTATGTTTGTAAGTTACCTAATATCCATAGTACAGGGTTTACCAAGTTTGAAACTAAATAGCGTTGTCTTTGGCTCGTCAACATCACAACAGGGGTATGTGTACGTTCCAATACCACAAAGATGGACCTTTGAGCTGATTACGTGTTCGTTCCGCAGGAAGTACCAGGACTCGGGGCTGCCGGAGGGCAGCGGCATCAACATTTCGCTGGTGGGGTCTGCGGGCCAGAGCTTCTGCGCCTTCCTCGCCAAGGGGGTCTCGGTCACCCTGGAGGGAGATGCCAACGACTACGTGGGTCAGTAGCGATGTGTACCAAGCGGTCCTTAGGTTAGCGCTACTGGACCGAGAATTACTCTCGCTTGGTCGTAGTACCAAATTGGGTACATGAGACTCGTATTTGGTGATGCGTAATGAAAAATGTTTTTTTGTGTCTAAAATGTTGTTTATTTTTCTTCGGGATAAATCCCTGTCCGGATAAATTTAAAAAGGAAAACCTTATCTTAGTACCAATATTTGATCCCAGTCGCTCGAGTCCTTTCCATAATAAATATATTCACTTATAGACAAGAGTCGTTTAAACCGTTTCCATATATAATTCCAAACAAAAGTTGCTGATTTAAAGTTATAAAATAATGATATTTTATCGTTGTGTTTGATCGTCATGATTTTATATTACTTAACGTCAAGTATTACAAACACCCGAGTAGGTGCAATCGAATGATCGTATCGATGGCCGCAGGGAAGGGCCTCTCCGGCGGCACGGTGGTGATCTACCCCCCGCGCGGCTCCCCGTTCGAGTCGCACCTGAACGTGATCGTGGGCAACGTGTGCCTCTACGGCGCCACCTCCGGACGGGCCTACTTCCGGTGAGCCTTCGATGCTTGCTATTTATTTTTCTCTTGGAGACTTATTTTTGTGTGATTTATTATCCTTAAAGGGAGTAGAGTATAGAGTAGAGCGGCTCGTATTTGATGTTCGTGCGCAGGGGCATCGCTTCGGAGCGCTTCTGCGTGCGCAACTCCGGCGCCACGGCGGTGGTGGAGGGCGTGGGCGACCACGGCTGCGAGTACATGACGGCCGGCACCGTGCTCGTGCTGGGCCTCACCGGCAGGAACTTCGCGGCCGGCATGAGCGGTATTCCCTTTCGTTGTATAGGGGAGGGAGGGAACACATAGTCCTACAGGGGGAGACTAGAAAGCCGCCGGACTGGGTACCAAAACCTCTTCTATCCGGTTGCTAAAGCTCCATCTCACCGGTAGTAATTTCGCGGCCGGCAAGAGCGGTGGGGCGCCTTCTCTGTATGGGGGCGGGGTAGGTCGCAGCCCTACAGGGAGACTGCAGGGCTGCCTCTGGCGCGCGAAAGATCCCTTTGGGTGTCTTTGTTGTATGGTGGGGGAGGTCACCTTTTATTTCACGCGGGGGGTACCATAGCCCTATTCTATGGGCCCGAGACTACAGGGCTGCCCTTTAAGTGCCCTGCTGCCTTATTGGGTACTATATACCCAGCTAACACCTCTGGTTAAGACCAATCCGCAGCTTGTAACCTTGATTTCCCCACGCTATAGGAATAAATATCCCACTGCTGGGCAAAGGCCTCTGCGGGCCCTGCGGGTTGGTGGACATCTCATGTCTTCGAAATATTTTATTTTTGTTATTATTTCGAAAGCAGGTTTCCTTACGATGTTTTATATAAGTATAATAAATAAATCAGCACCGAAAATTAACAATTTCATTGGTGCCGGCACCGGGGATCACACTCAGGTTGCTCGAGTACAATATACTGTATAATTAGAAGCGAGCTCCCGGACAATAAGCTATCACGGCCCGTTAAGAAAACAATATTTATTTTTACCATTATTGGAGACAGATGTAAGAAAACACGAAATATTTTAAAGTAAGCCTATTTAAAATGAAATAATGATATTCCACAACAAGCCGGCAACGGGGCCACAGGGTGGCCTATGCCCTGATACCCTCTGTACAAAGGAGGCCTTTGCCCAGCATGTCCCACATGTACGTGCTGATATGATGACTTTACTTTTTTTTAATGACATTTAACTTTCAACCGCCTACCAATGTTCTTTCATTCGCGTACATTTCGACCAGGACATTAGTCTTGAACGGTTTCGATCTGTCACCGGCAGGTGGCATCGCGTACGTTTACGACGTGGACGGCTCCTTCAAGGACAAATGCAACCCGGAGATGGTGGAACAGCTGCCGCTGGAGAATGAAGAAGATCTGAGCGAAGTCAAACAGCTTCTGGAGGAGTTTGTCGAGTACACCGGGTGAGTGTGCTTCATAACATTCCACTATTGTATTGATTTCTTGTTTTAACGCGAATATTGTAAATGAATGCTGGAGGTTCGAAATGTCAGGCATTCAAAAATCTAATTAGAACACGATAGAAATCCGTAAAATAGTTTATAATTGTGCTCTACTATCTTCGGTTGAATATTAAAATTTTTATATTATTTTAATTAAAAAAAAATTGAATTTCTAAAAAGCAATCTCGCTATCATTCGAATTATCGTCGTAAAATAATATTCGAAATTGTTTGTATGCTGGAAAGGATATCACAATGGATGCGCCAAGCATTGCTTCAAATGCTAAAATTGCGTTAAATGCTAAAATTGCGTTAAATGCTAAAATTGCGTTGCGTTGATGTGTTGAGAATTTCGTAGGTGTGGCAACACACCGACGAAGTTCTCAACGCCCTTTATAACATTAAATTTTTTACAACAGTTAATAACAACCTATAACCTTTTACAACAGTTAATCATCCGTTTAGCTTAGTGGCTAGAGCGTCCCTAAGACTCGGATTCGATGCCCACAGCGGCCAGAAACTTTTCGTTCCTTTTTTTTTACAAATATTTTAATGTTCGGTTAATACTTTTAATCTCGGAAGACAGTAAACGAAATGAACTAACTTTTTAGAGCTAATTTTCTATCATAGTGCACGAAGCACTTGAATATAACCAAATTAAGGTTGCTCCGTTAATACCACGCATGGTAGGGCCACGCAGCAGCCTCGGCTGTTGCACGAATGGGCAGGCCCGTCCGGGTAAGTACCACGACCTCACAGAAGACCAGCGTAAAGTGGAAGTATGAGAAATACTTTCGCGTTTCGTCTGGTGAGTGAGGTAGCTGCCGGAGCCCAATTTTCAAAAGGTTGTCAACGCATCTGTAACCCTCGGGAGTGGCAGATGTCCATGGGTGGCGGTATTCACTTATCATCAGGTGAACCGTCTGCTCGTTTGACAACTTTTCGCATAAAAAAAAAAAACCACGCATTTAGAACTACGAATTGACTGCCTACTGGGCTGGCTCGTGAAATGTTTACTCAGTTGCCACCCCTTCGAAATAAAATAGAAATAGCAAAAGCTTTCTCGTCCCAGATCCATCATCGCCAAGGACCTCCTGGCCACGTGGCCGGAGCCCGCCAAGATGTTCGTGAAGGTGTTCCCGTACGAGTACCAGCGCGCCCTGAAGCAGATGGCCCTGATGAAGCCCAAGCCGAGGGCCGAAGTCAACGGAAAAGAGGAGAACGGGCTGGTCGACATAGAGGAGGCCGTCAGGGACGTGGAGCTGGAGAAGAAGAATTTGGAGAAGGTGCTCGATAAGACCAGGTGAGAACATCTTTTTTCTTCTTTTGCCGCGTTTGGAGAAAATTATGAGAGAGTAGTTTTCTACGGTGCACGGCACACCGACCCCTAAAAGAGACATTATGCTTGCCAATCAAGTCCACAGTATTGCAACCGTGTCAACCGATAACATCTTTTTGACATTTACCTATATACATATTTTACATTACCAAGTTATAACCATTATTAATTGCATTTAATGTCTTTTTCACAAATAAAGGGGCACAGTGGATAAAAAGTTTAGTTATTTTTTCTTTGTTAAGGTAAATTTAACATAGAGTACCGCTCTATGAAGTCAGACATTGTATCAAATCGGTGACAGGGGATTTATTGAATTGTTCAATTATTTGAAGTAATTACAGCTTATCTTCATTATTAAAATTTTTGACAACGATATCGTCGGCAGGGGGTCGGGAGGGTTAATTTAACATTAAGTAACGCTCTATGATAAATTATGTCAAACGTGGGACGAAGTTGGGGGGGGGGGGGAGGCTTCGATTTACAATAAGTACCGCTCTGCGGGGACTTGCGTCAGACATTAGTGAACAGTCTGACGCGCTTCCCCCCCCCCCCCCCCCCCCCCCCCCCTAACGTACAGCTCTTCGAAGAAACGCAGTCGGATGTGGCAGAGGGGGAGTGGTGGTGGGGGGGGGGGGGGGGGGGGGCGCTTAATTCAACGTCAAGTCCAACCCTGCGAGGAACCGCAGTCGGACGCGCGAGGGGGGAGGTTCCGTTTGACACCGCGAGGCGCGTGCTCCGGCAGGGGCTTCATAAAGTACCCGCGCGAGACGGCCCAGTACCGGCCCGCCGAGCGGCGGCTGCGCGACTGGGACGAGATCTACGACGCGCGCGCGGTGCGGCGCGGGCTGCGCGTGCAGGCGGCGCGCTGCATGGAGTGCGGCGTGCCCTTCTGCCAGAGCGGCCACGGCTGCCCGCTGGGCAACCTGGTGCCCAAGTGGAACGACCTGGTGTTCCGCCACGACTGGCGCCAGGCGCTCGCGCACCTGCTGCAGACCAACAACTTCCCGGGTGAGCCTGTCGGCGCGCGAATCCACTTTTTTCGCGTAGGGTAACGCTTCCACTTAACGCGGCCTTCTGTGAGGTCGTGGTGCTTCCCCGGAGGGACCTGCCCGCTCGAGGAACATGAAACTGTTGCGTGGCCTTACCACAGACTGCGGCGACTGCGATAGATATGGGCTACTGTAGAAGCTTCGGGTGGGCTCGTCAAGGGAAGTATCGCGGAGTCAGAGAAGACAGAGGGGAGAGTTGACACTTCCGCGTTTCGTCTGCTGAGTGAGGCAACCGGTGCAAGTTTTTAAAAGGTTGTCAACGTATCTAGAAGTCCCCAAAAAAAAGAACAATACTGCAAAGTTGCAGGTTCTTCTATAGACAAGTCTAAATTGGTGTGGTAGTTTTTTTTTTCGACATTCATTAAATAAATTTAAAAGAAGCCTTCATCATGAATAAAGAAATTTTGACTTTGACTCAGATAAATCGAAATCCATAGGCATCGGCAATCACTTAACATTAGATGAACGATGGGCTACGCTACATTCTTCCACCAGTATCACAACCGGCGTGAAGTGAAAGTGTTATACAGGGTGGCTTTTCTAAAGGTGCCCAAATTCACACAGGAGGTGCAGACTCGGTTGACAATGCGGTAATCATTCATAAATAACTAAATTTTTACTGTGCATGCACACTACAACACTAAGCAAAACTAAGCGCTCGCGATAAATCGGAGACGACTCATGCCGGCACGGCGTCGTATACTTTTGAAACAAACTTGTGTGCTTGTTAGTTATCAATGATCCCGCGTAAAATAAATGAGTTGTATATATAAATCACGCAATTTTTGAGATAAGTTCAAATGAATGTAATTAATTACTTACGAGTGATTTCTAATGTTTATCATTTTTATATAACATTCTATATGTCTAGAGTTTAATTTAAAAAAATGGTTACCCTTATAAAAGCCTCCCTGTATTTTGGCGTTTCGTCTGGTGAGAGAGGTGACTGGAGCCCAATAGTAAAAGGGGGTGACAGGTGTCAACGGTCGAGTATCGATGTCGAACGTAGCCGTGTTCGCTGTTTGCAGAGTTCCCACTGATTAATTCATGTTTTTGAGCACCGAAGTCGAGCTTAACCGCCTCGACGGCCCGCAGAGTTCACGGGGCGCGTGTGCCCCGCGCCGTGCGAGGGCGCGTGCGTGCTCGGCATCTCGGAGCCGCCCGTCACCATCAAGAACATCGAGTGCGCCATCATCGACCACGCCTTCGAGAGCGGATGGATACAGCCGGAGGTGCGTTCTGCTCTGTCTCTCTCTCTCTCTCTCTCTCTCTATAAAAAGTAAAAAGGTGCGTTGACTCCCTCCGCGCGGAAGAAGTGAAACTCGCTTTGTCTCTTTCTATTTCCCCTCCCCAGGAGCGTTGTGCTTTCATACCCCCTCCATGGTAGCGTTAAACATTTAACGCAACCTGGTTAGTCGCAATAGAAGTTTCACTTCAATAAAGCGTCCCCCTCCCTCGCTTACAGTGTCTAAACTCCACCTGTATAAAGTAAGTAAAGCAACCTAGCCTATTCAAGTCCCACTGCTGGGCAAAGGCCTAATCTCGGATCGGACTTAGGCAGACCCCACTGCGGATCGGCCGAATTTATATATGAAATATTGTTTTTATTACTATTTCGAAAATATGCATTTTCCTGACGATCCTGGCTCAGATGAACTCAGGTTTGCAATAAATTTTTCATGTTCAACACCGCAAGGAAAAGAAGGAGAGAAAAATTAACTACAGTAACATCTAACATATACATTAAAAATGTCGTCTGAACTCAAACAACGAATAACTTTGTCTATTGCCGTTGCGGAAAAACTTTTTGGGACGTTGAGTTATTTGATGATTCATCTCAGGTGCCGGAGTATCGCAACGGAAAGACGGTGGCCGTCGTGGGATCTGGTCCAGCAGGTCTGGCTTGCGCCCACCAACTTAACAAGGTGAGCTTAGTCATAGACAATTTTACTACTAGTTCAATATTATTACAGCCTATAATCCCTATTGTATATATACATATTTATAGGACTAATCGTCTGTTTATTGGACACGATAAGGGTCTACATGCAGCGGTTACGTGTTGTAGAAAAGCAAAAAGAAGTTTTATGCTCTCTCGAAGCGTGTATCCACTGTGTTGCTGGATTCACCGAACTGTGCCCTACAGTGTAACTAGCTTACTCCGTTGGTTTACTATGCATACCTCACTCTCCGAACGCAACACAATTCCTTAATATCAAAATCAAAATCAAAATCAAAAATATATTTATTCAAATAGACGCTTGCGCGCTCTTATGAATCGTCAAATTTTACATCAAAGATTATGTGTATAGGTTCGTAAGGTACCACCGGTTCGGAAAGCGGTTTCTGTTGAGAAGAGACCGGCAAGAAACTCAACAGTTGCTCTTTTTCAAATATTCCTAAATGGTATAATATGCTTTAATCATCAGTTGATTTTTAATTTTACATTTAAATTGGTCAAGCGGCAGACTTAATATTGACTGTGGGATTTTATTATACATGCGCACACTTTGCCCCATGAACGACTTATTTACTTTTTGTAGACGAAACAATGGCGTAGTAAGTTTGTCCTTATTTCTAGTGTTTATTTTATGTCTGTCACTATTCTTTAGGTAATAATTAAGGTTATGATGTATATACAAAACATATCTCTCCTCGAATTCGAACTCACATACGACTATCGCTGCAGGCCGGCTACCTGGTGACGGTGTTCGAGCGCAACGACCGCCCCGGCGGGCTGCTGCAGTACGGCATCCCCAGCATGAAGCTCAGCAAGGCGGTGGTGGCGCGCCGGCTGCAGCTGCTCGCCGCTGAGGGCATCAGCTTCAAGTGCAACGTCGACGTGGGCAAGGATATATCCGCGCGCGACCTCGCCAACGAGTGAGTTCGACTCGCACGCACGCACGCACACGCGTACACGCACACGCCTACACGCGCGCACGCACGCACACGCACACACGCATGTACGCATACGCACACGCTTGTACGCACGCACGTACATGCATTAAGTAAAGATCATTATGTTTACACACATATGTGTGTGAGATCTATTGAAATAATCGCTTTAATAGCCCTTTCAAGACTTCAAAAACTGAGGACGTTCACAATTCGACGGTATTTTTTTTAATGCTTGTTACCTCAGAACTTTCGACTGAGTGAATCGATTTTGATGATTCTTTTTTTATTTGAAAGCTGCTGCTTCCCATGTGGTCCCATGTTTATTTCATTGGATTTGGATCTTGGGCTCCGGGGATACTTAGGGGAATCCTGAAAATCAATTATAAAATGAATACAGAGCGAGATATTTGAAGTCTGTTTTGTTTTTCGTTAATAAAACAAGTAAAGTTTTCATTCCGTACTTCTTGCGCTGAACTTTGACATGCACGTAATCTTCTTTTGTTGCCGTTTCGAAGTCCATACATACATTGGGGATCATGTAAGGCCTGTTTTGGCCTCCGGTGCCGTTGCAGGTACGACGCCCTAGTGCTGTGCATGGGCGCCACGTGGCCGCGCGACCTGCCGCTCAAGGGGCGCGAGCTGAACGGCATCCACTTCGCCATGGAGTTCCTCGAGGGGTGGCAGAAGAAGCAGGCGGGCGGCGCGGCGGGCCACGCCAAGGAGCGGCCCGCGCTCTCCGCCACCGACAAGCACGTGCTCGTCATCGGCGGCGGGGACACCGGGTGAGCTGCCACCGCCCCTGCCACTGCCACAGACATCAATACGACCCGTGCTAATCACGTGGTCTGCTGCACTAACGCCCAATTCTGCAGTGTTTCACCCCTATCGGTCAGCCGGTGCAGTCCCCCACTAAAGTAACTGTTACAGCCCGTTCTGCAGCTGGGACGTGACCTCACTGCTTCTATTGCGTTCTATTTTATAGTAATACCTTCTTTTTTTTTTCTGTGAAAAATTGTCAACGGAGCAGGCGGCGGCTTGCTTGACAACCTTTAAAGCGTGTCCCCGTTACCTCATTCGCCAGACGAAACGCGAAAGCGTAACACTTCCAATTTATTCTGGTCGCTTTGAGGCCACGGTACATGCGATAACAGAAGCCGATGCCTGGCCCTGAAACTGAATATGTACTATTTTAACTGCGGTAGGACCACTCAACAGCTTCGGCTGTTACTGCAATGGGCAGGTCCATCCGGGTAAGTACCACGACCGGTGTATAGTGGAAGTTTCACACTTCCGCGTTTCGTCTGGTGAGCGAGGCAGCCGGGGCCCACTTCACTAAAAGGTGATCTGCCACCCTGCGGGGTGTTTCGAACGTCCGTGGGCGGCGGCTGCCACTCAACTGCCACCTAGTAATGTTACACTATTCAATACCCAAGCCCGTGGGTTCTGGCTAGCCCACCGGCTCTGCGTCAGATGAAGCTTTAATAGTCTCGGGGCTGAAAGCACAAACATCAGTTACAAAAAAAAAAGAACTATTCGATTTGTCGTAAAGGTGCGACTGCATCGGCACCGCCCTGCGGCAGGGCGCCCGCTCGGTGACCACTTTCGAGATCCTGCCGCAGCCGAGCGCCTCCCGCCAGAGGGACAACCCCTGGCCCCAGTGGCCGCGCGTCTTCAGGTGAGATGTTTCGCCTCTTTCATGTAATATCTCATAAACCAATCGCAGTGGATGGTGACCCAGTCTCTTGCGCAGGGGGCAGTGGGTTCGGTACTTAGAAGAAATAAATAAATCCATACTAATAATATAAATACGAAAGTAACACAGAGTTACTTCTGTACTAGAGTCTGTCTGTCTCGCTTTCACGCCAAAACTAATGAACCGATTTAAATGAAATTTGTTACACAGATAGTCTAGACTGTGTCACATTGATATGCCTAGGTCTGCGGCTCCAATCGTGCCCTCTGATTATAGACAGGTTAGCAAAGATACTGGATATATTGTTTCTCGCTCTGGAGGGCGTGGTTTTGATTATCACTACTGAAAAAAAGGACGTGCGTTTATTTCTTTAAATAATTTATCTATGCATCATTTATACAAAATGGCATAATTTTCCACATCTTTGTGATGTCGTTAATCTATCGCACTTTTTCTACGAAACAATATTATTTAAAGATTTTAAAAAATCACTTTTAGAGTGGACTACGGTCACGAGGAGGTCAAAGTGAAATTCGGTAACGACCCCAGACAGTTCTCTACGCTTACAAAGGAGTTCCTCGATGACGGTAAGAACTTTCCCATCATTTTTATTTGAAATTTAAATATAAAAGACACTTAACTTGAACGAATGTTAAATCAAAAATAAATCGTTCTCAATTGAATGTAATTAATGTAAACGATTTTGATGACATATACATCTTACTTTAGTTCATTTAATAGATTATTTAAATATTACACTATGATATGAAAACGGCAAATAAAATGTAATTGCATAGATAATGTACGTAATACAAATTCTAAATGTTTCAAAATGATTAGTATTGATTTGGTGTACGTTCACTGGACGTTTGGAACGGGGTTAAAACGTTTGCAGGGCAGGGCAACGTGTGCGGCGTGGCGTGCGTGGAGGTGGAGTGGGAGCGGGGCGCGGGCGGGCGGTGGGAGATGCGCGAGAAGGGGGGCACGGCGCGGGTGGTGCGCGCCGACCTGGTGCTGCTGGCCATGGGCTTCCTCGGCCCCGAGCGATACGTCGCCAACCAGCTCGGTGAGCGGCTGCACCGCACCCTTCATCCATATCATTCATCCACACCGTTCATCCACAAAGTTCATTCACTCCGTTCATCCGCACCGTCCATCCATACCATGTATTGACACCATTAATCTACACCATTCATCCGCTCCGTTCATCCACACCATTTATTCACACCATTAATCAACACCATTCATCCGCACCGTCCATCCACACCATTTATTCACACCATTAATCAACACCGTTCATCAACACTGTTCATCCGTTAAATATTTTTAAACAAAATCCAACAACAATAACTGTAATCCTCGTCCCCAGATCTGCCGCTGGACGCACGAAGCAACGTCGAAACGGATAAATCGAACATATACAAGACCCCCGTCGAAAACGTTTTCGCCGCTGGAGGTAAACATCTTTCCCTTATTTATTACGTAGCGACCACTAAGCAAATACTGAGTGTTTACGTGGATTCTCTCGAGTATACGAAGAGATGAATGTCCAAATCCACCTTATGTCATGGCGTGATAGCACAGTGTCCGCGCAATTTTAAGTGCTGAATTATCACGTGCTCAGAGGTGAAGGAAAATGTGAGAAATTCTGCATATTTTCGAAATAATCATAAAAAAATGTCAAGTCCGCCAATCCACAGTGGTATGCACGGTGGACTACGCTCTGAAATGAAACCCTATGTACAATGGCTTTTGCCGAGCAGTGAGACATATACAGGGAGGATTTTTTAAGTGTATCCATTTTTTTTTTATTAAATTCTAGACATAAATAATGTTATATAAAACATGATAAATATTTAAAATCACTCGTAATTAATTAAATACATTCATTTGAACAGATCTCAAAAAGTGCGTGATTTATGGGCAACTCATTTATTTTACGCTATCTATCATTCATAACTAAAACGCACACAAGTTCGTTTCAAAAGTATACGACGCATTTATGAATGACTAGGTACCGCATTCAATTGTCAGCAAGTTCTGTTTTTAGGGAATAGAATTACAATTTTTGAAAAAAAAAGTTTGTTTTTAGTTAATAAAAGATTATACTTCCTAGTCTGAACCTCCTGTGTGAATTTGGCCACCATTACTCTTTTTTTTATACATATATATTTCGAGAATATGGGAAGTTTGCCAATCCATGAGGGGGAGAATTGCTCTAAAGCCCTCTGTGTAGTGGCCTCTGCCCAGCTGTGGGATATGTATGCGCCGTTGCTCTACTCCCATGTGTTCTGTAACGAACCGTCGTCTGCAGACTGCCGCCGCGGGCAGTCGCTGGTGGTGTGGGCCATCTCCGAAGGCCGGCAGGCGGCACGCGCGGTGGACCTGCAGCTGAGCGGCCGCTCCAGCCTGCCCGGCCCCGGCGGCGTGCTCTACGCCTAGGCCCCGCCCCGATTCAGTTAAGGCCCAACTCCCCTTGGCCGGCGCGGCTGCGAGTCTTCCAAGCGACGGTGGACTGCCGCGCCGCGCCACTTTCAACTCTATCCCCGAAGCTTAAGGTCCAATTTGCGTTACGTAGCGTGGCACGGCTGCGAGTCTTCCAAGCGACGGTGGGTCCCATGCCGCGCCACTTTCAACTCTATCCCCGAAGCTTAAGGCCCAATTTGCGTTACGTAGCTTGGCACGGCTGCGAGTCTTCCAAGTGACGGTGGGTCCCATGCCGCGCCACTTTCAACTCTATCCCCGAAGCTTAAGGCCCAATTTGCGTTACGTAGCGTGGCACGGCTGCGGGTCTCCGAATCGACGGTGGGCTGCCGCGCCATTTTCAACTCTATCCCCGAAGAATAGGGCGTTACACAGCCCGGCACGGCTGCGTCGGCTTCCGAGACTCCGGTGTGCGCGTGTTCCCGCGTCAAAGCATTTTGAACTTTAACATAAACGGTAGTTAAGGCTCAATTTAGCTCGAAAGCTTGCGACTGGTTCCGTCCGCGCTAAACCAATTTGAATTCTACATCCTCGTGTTAATTTTGAACTCGTAAACCAGTACATTAAAGCCCAATAAATAAAATAGCGCGATCTCGCTACCCAGCGTCCCTGTGCGGCAGCGCGCTGAGCAATTTTAGACTCTATCCTAGAAGCTTTAGGGTCACTTCAGCTGGCGCGCGACCGTTGCGAATACATTTAGGCCTAAAATTGGGGAAAAATTAGCAACTCCACGTGCTTCGCCATTGTGACCTTTAAAATCAGCCCACTAGAACCCAACTTAAGTAGAAGCTCGCTGTAAGCTGTACTATTACATCGGGAGCCGTCCCATAGTAACCGCTGAGTCACTAATTATGCTATTTTAAACTCTATTTAAATAAATTTTAAAGTCAATTCAATAAATATAACGCGTATTCCGACCGATCTTATGTCGTTTTTTTGTTTTTTAACTACCATATTGTTTAAATTGTTTAAGACCGATCCCAATGATCTGTTACTAGTAGAGATTATCGAGAATTAATTAATAAGGAATAAACAACAAGCTTTTTATTATATTAAAAAACATTCATTCCTAATGTTTTATTGTAAAATGTAAGGTTCCTCTATGTTATAAATTAACATTTATGTTATTTAATACATTAAAAATCATATTCTCTGTACCAAAAGTTAACTTGTAAGCGAAATAATTTGGTACGTAAAATATTACGAACAATACCATTCTTTGTTCATACAACTTATCTTTTAATAAATACAATAATACAATATGTATTATTATTTATCCTGGAAACGACAATTTATTTAGTTTTTAATGAATTTGTAAATAATGTACTGTATATTTATTTGTATAAAAAATCGAAAGTAATGTTGCTTTTTTTATTTATATTTTATAATAATTTATCTAACACAAAACTCCGGAATGAGTTACGATCTACCCGTGATAATGAAAAATAACATTTCCCGGTTCTATTGTTAACGTTATGTACATAATTATATTGTTACAATATTATTTGTTTGACACCCCGATTTCGAAATGTATAAACGCTTTGGAATTTACTATAGTTGTATTGAGAGCACATTCCGTATGTCGCGTTCTTTGAAAAATGTATTTGTCTCGGAGCAAGGGGAAACGGACAAACTCATTGCAAAACTTTTGCCAGAATCAAAAACAACAAAACATAGACAGTATTAGTAAAATCAAAATGGAACTAAATTAATTTTATAAGGATGGGGTAATTGGTTCGAACCTACAACAACAGGTGTCAACGACCCACCTACCAATAATTACCCTTTGTACATGAAATAAGACGAGTCTTTCAAATAAGTACTCTATTATTGGAACATCAATTTGAAAATTATAGATAAATCTGAAACTGGGCCGTCTACTGTGTTCTTCAACCGAAAATTAGCATTTCGATAGTAATTGAACAAATAAATTTACTTTAACACGGCTTTTATACATGATTATTATTACAGTATATATTCTCTTTTTTTACTATTTTTTTTCTGTTTGTATACGAAAGTGTTTGGTGGCCATTCGCCCGAAAATTAAGTGCATTCATTTCGTAGACATTAATTTGAAAATACCGTAAAGACTCCTAAGTTCAATAACTCGTATCGACATAAAAATGAGTTTCCAAATTACGAGCAAAAAGATTACCATAGCATTTCTTTTTCTGAATGAGTTGCTTAGTCGTAGATTCAATTTGCGAGTTGTATTTCGTTTGATGTCTCTATCAAGCTAATTGACTTCTGAAATTTATGTGAAACTGGCCACTCAGTTTGCTAACGCCGTTAGGGTCTATAATTGCCTGCAGTTAATTGCTATACGAAGCCATCGCTTCGAAGGTCAGCTGTTGAGGGTCACTCTGTTGGCCTAATTTAGCAGCTGAATGATCAGTATTGAAGAACCCTTAGCCTAGACCTTGGTCAGTCGATATCGCCGTCTTATAGAGCTCGCTAGTGTATAGAGCTATCGACCTACTTTGACATCGCATCGGCCATATAAAACCATACTAGCCGTCAAAACGGCCATTGCAAAATGAACCTTGAACACAAAGTTCTTAAACGATGTTTTTGTTCGTTCGTCTTGCTCCGCGATACGATAGTTGGAAAAAGTTTTCAAGTTAGTGATCTCTTTAGTGTGTCGTATGTTGGAAATTGTTGGAGAAATTTTTCGTTTTTAATGTTATTTACATTGGTTTGTTAGTTTTTTTTATATTTATTTATTCATAGTCATCTCATGCCTACGCGTTAGTTTAGTTCAGATCAGTCTGTACACATCTGTTTATATTTATCTATTATTTATGGTCTGTTTTTAAAACGATTCCATCGGCACGTTTGATGTCCAAGATTGTTGTCAAAGATTAAAGGTTATAGATGTTTGAGGTCAAAGATTACAAATGAAATTATTGCAAAACAAATTTTCAATTAAATTACGCAGGTACCGTATATTGTTATGTAGATTGTATTAATGGGAGCACTTAGTAAATATCTATTAATAAAGAGTCATGAATTAAATTTAGAATATCCGGTCCGATAAGTACAACGATTTCTCAAAGGACAACGGTATTTGTTATTAAGAGTAACTTAGCAGTATTTTTTTAGAATTTTCAATCGAAGCTCACTTTAATTTCAGGTGCGGCGATCATTTTGTTTTGTTTTATACTTTAATCAATGTAAGGAAATGAAAGTTCGCAAGCTCGCATATGTTGTCTTGTGAAAAGACAACATATGCGAACAAAATTCGTTATTTACTGGCGCATATGTTGTCTTTTCACAAGGCGTTTAATTATTTTACATTAAATTAATTTATTAATAAACAAAATGTCGAATTACTTTTACTTTTTCATTTAATGTCAAGAATAATGTGACCGTTGTCTGTTGAAAAATGTTCCATGCCATATTTGTTATGATTAGAGTATATGTTGACTGTGATGTTCAGTTTTCTTTATGGTAATCGAGATTAATATACTTTTTTTGTCCGTATTTAATTTTGAAGTTCCTATACAGAATGGCGTTGGCAAAATAGATTTTCACCTTATATATAGACTGTCTTGGTAACAAGAGATAAATTAACAAAAAAAGTTTTAGAAAAAAAATATTTTTATCTAATTAGAATTTCCACCGAAGGTTCAAAGTTTATATAATTTTTAACCGGTCAACGCAACACATGCTGTACAGTTTTAATGCTTTTGTTATAAAACAACGATAATTGTTACGTAATTCTTTGAAGTTAAACGGAAGTTGAAGTATCAGCAGGGAAATGTACTTTTATGTGAGTCGGCTAGTAGAATGGCGTTACGCCACTCGAAAAATATTCTTTCTGGATATAATTTGCGCACTCAAAATAAATCAATATAGTTTATTTTATTGCTGAAATGTATGTGGCAGAACTGGAACTGAATTATCAAGCATTGCTCTGGCTATCTCTCGAGTTCTGCGTTCGATCGAAGCTTTAATAGTCTACGGACTGAAAGCAATAACATCAAAGTAAAAGTCGCTCGGACTTGTTTATACCATGTTTGCAGTTACGTACAAATCGCCTAAGATTTTTAAATTTCCTATGTGTTTATTTACGTTTCGAATTTTATTTATTTTCCAATAAAACTTGTACAAAATTTTGTTTTATTTTATTTTCATTTTGTCCATTTCGCTCTATTATATTTAATCGCCTTTTATAGTTCACATAAACGTGCTTTTTTTAACAAATGTTTTGAAATTGATACAAATGTTATAGTGTCCTCACTTTTTGTTGATGATTGACAGATTTGTTTTGATATCTCTTACTACATTTCAAAATCAATATACTTTCTCTTCTTTACTCAAAATCTAAAATTACAATCTAGATGCAGTATTATTTTTCAATGTATTTGTTCACTTATTTCCTATGGAACGAATATTTGCTTAAGATATATTTCGTGACTCTTAAAAACATAAGTAATTGTGAAAAGATATTTTATCACAAAACACATTTTTAAATACCTAAACTTTATAAAATAATCTATATTTTACTAAGAACATATTAATTCTATATCAGATTATAAAAATACGTTGCTATAAATATTCTAAGCAGAATCAAATTGTTTTATTTTGAAACTACACGTATGAATAATTTATTATCACTGAGCCAAATACTTATTGCGTAGGGTAGACGTTATAACTTGTATAAAATTCAATATTATCATTGACAATAATTATATTATGCCGTTATCAATAACAGTTATGAATATGTAAAATGTAGAGAAGTCGGTGTCCGTTTGTAGTTTATGTCTGTGTAATAAAAGTTAGTTGGTGAAATGTCTTGTTTTATTTAATATCACTCCCCGAAATAACGTCATAATCGAACTTTGATACATAGCAAAGCCTTACTTAACTGTGGTAAGGCCACGCAACAGTTCGCCGTTGCATGAATGGGCAGGTCCGTCCGGGGAAGTACCGCGACGTACTCTGCGTTTCGTCTGGTGAGTGAGGTAGCCGGGGCCCACTTTATTAAAAGGTGGCAACGCATCTGCAACCATACCATAAATGAGACATATGAACCATACCGTGTGTTGCAAATTTCAATGGGTGGCGGTTGACGAAATTTCACCCTAAAAAGGTAGATAAGACAACGAGCCGAGCGATGACAAGATTGCGAAAGGTAGAAAGGCGACCGTGCTAGCTCAGTACGAATAAAGACGGCATGAATGCATATGGTTGAAGATGCGTTGCCTCCTTATAGTAAATTGGGCCCCGTCTACCTCACTCACCAGACGAAACTCCGAACTACTTCCACTTTACGTCGGTCTTCTGTGAGGTCGTGGTACCCGGACAGACGTGCCCATTCGTGCAACAGCGTAAACTGTCACGTAATCCCACCACCGATGAATGCAATGCACTACTTGTGATGATTTGAATGAATCTAGATCGTTAAAGAACCCACTGTCCTATAAGCCTGCCTGTAGGATTCAATTCCTGTTACCTTACTCACATAACAGCAGGGACTACCTCTTTTTTAGTGATGGCAATACGCTCATCTGATGGGCCAGTGACGACAAATTATTACCATTACCGCCGCCCTTACAGGACACGCTTAGTTTACAATGAGAACGTCTTTTTTTCTTTATATTTTCCCTTACTTAGGATAACATTATCCTGTGTTAATTAAAATATGTAGAAAAAGTACGAAAAGACTGTCGCCGCTGTGGGATTCGAACCCACGTATTCGGCATTCGCGGCCTGACGCTTTAACCACTAAGTTGTTGTGTGTTGTAAGGTCGTTTTACAAACATAAATTTCACGTGGACAAACACCCAGATGCGAAACGATTATCTGTGCGTCAAACAAATAGTTGTCCGTGTGGGGATCGAACCCACGACCCCCGACGCCGAAGCCAACACATTGGCAACTGCGCCACGGAGTTATCCGTTAAAATTAAACAAGGTGAGGCTGCCTTACTAACTAGACGAAACGCATGACATAAATAAATATTTTTACCTTATTCTTGCGTCAGACTCATTGTACTTCTTGAAGCAGCCTATGATAAAAACAGAAATTGCGTTTTTTTTTTTTTAGAGCTTACCTCTGCACTTAAAACATTAAAATATGTAGAACTGGACGAAAAGTTTTTAAATATTTGAAATTGTTCGTATGCTTAGGACATAACAATAGATTGCTTAAAATGAGAAAAAAAAACTATTTTGATAAACACATTTTCGTCGGTGTGGCAATGAACCCTTTAGCTCAATGTTTAAAGCATCTGGGCGCGAATCCTGAAAGTATGTGTTCGATTCTCCCGCAGCGGCGAAAAACTTTTTTTTTGTTCATTTGAATAGAACTTCGTGGGTCTACTACATCAATAACTTCATCAACAATTTTGTACCCCTATATAAACTTCAGGTATATGATTTATTGAGACCGTCGTTTCGTTTATTTTCAAAATTTCAGCTGTCAATGGAAATTCGTTTAGAACATGAAATAGAATTTGAAATACCAAGAAACGACCTCACGGATTTTAAGTCCCATCGAAAGATTTATAGAACTGATTGGACAATAATCGAGGGCAATCAATACTAACTCAGATTCTTCGAAAACCCTTGTATCGAAGAGAACAAGGAAGCCAAGTTTACCTATTTTTATATTCTTTATACTTTCGCTCTAACGCGAAAAGAAATCCTGTCATCTGAAAAAAAAATAGAAATCGTACCTATTAATTGAAGCCATTACTCAACTATTATATGTGAAAAGATACCAAACGAGCAGACGGTTAACCCGAGTGATTGCTGCCGCTCATGGACAGCTACTCGACAAGGGATTACGGATGCGTTGGCAATATTTAAAGTCTGGTTTGAATGGTTGCCTAGAAGATATCGCTTCTAAGCGGTAAGATAAGGGCGCCAACCAATTATTATTAATACCTTTATGTAATCGTTTGTTACTTTTGTAATTTTGTCTGCTGTACAATAAAGCATATTTCATTCAAAAAAGAGGGTCGTTTTTTTTAATGTATTCTTCCACTTGACGACTAGACGATGACATATATGCAAATCAATTTCAACCTCCCCCTTTTACGTGCCGAGTTTTCATTAGAAATTATGTCAGTTAACATAGAGCGGCGATGAAAACTGTAACTATATTCTACCCGACTTAACAGAACCCAATGAAATGGAAAGCCGTGACGCCGACGCGTTCACGAAACTGTCGGTACATAATTGATGCGACATGTAGTCTGCATAAATGTATCTGTTCATTAATTTTACCTCGTCGCACCGGGAGCGATGCGACTTCAGTCTGGATTCAATGCTTAAACCATCGCCATACCCGTAACTGGTGAGTTGTGAATATTGTTATAAAAAACACGCTTTTGTCAGATAATTTAAGAAGCACTAAACTGGTGTAATCCATAAAAGTCGCTTCAAATTAAGTAAACAATCGCTAAGAGTGGCTATTCCACTATTTAGACAGGTTTCATGCTTTCTGATGGATTTAAATATTGTGTTATAAGGCGAGCTTTTATAATTTTTCTACTGAGTATCTAGAGGCAGGCAAAGGCATTTCCAACCGGAGAAACAAATGAATAAGTGATAGAATTTCCGAGTGCACGCAGTGTTCTTTGGCAGATATAGTTTAGAAAACACTGAATTACGGCATTCTATGTTACCGATAGTTTACGGATCGTTCCTAATAGAATACATGTAACAATTTATTAGTTACATTCAAATATTGCATAAATTATTTGACGTACAGAAGTGACATTTTTATATAGGTAAATTTTTGATTCGATTAGTCGATTTAAGGTCTAGTGACTCTAATGCATACATCATTTAAAAGACTTTATGTGACTATACAACCGGAAAATTAAAAAAAATTTGTTACTGCTATAAGTTCTACTCATTTAAGAACCAACAAACACTACTATATATAGTAGGGCCACGCATCAGTTTTCAGTGAGCACGAACGGGAGGTCCCTCCGGGTAATTACCACGCCCTCACAGAAGACCTGCGTAAAGTAGAAATGTTACACTTGACCCACCTTGTGTAAAGGCGGCGGTTATTACTTAACATGAGGTGAACCGCCAGCTCGTTTGCCACTTTTTCACATAAAAAAAATTAAGAAATCTATTGCATTCCTTTGGATTTCAACTCGATCAAAACTTATAGAGAAGAGAGATTAGGTTCAGACGTAATACGTTATTGTGCAGATATGAAAATGAAAACGAAGATCGCATCGCTTTACGAGAAAATAGACAGTAAGTTCTTCGAACAGTTCGAATTCCGAATTTGCGACACAAATCTCAGTAAGATAGCGATATACATGCACAAACCAAAAGATGCGTCCAGTTTGGCCTTTACAAGGATTTTATTTGGTAAGTCAATTTTACATGAAGTTTCGTATTTTCGTTTCAGCAGACTTATGTTTTTTAAGCTGCCAATTACTATTAAAATACATTCAAATTAATTCTATATGCATAAAAACTCATTTGTCATTTTCAAAACCGTCCTTTTGTAATTACCCATGTATTTCTTTAATCATATTGCTTTACAATAAGTAACGTCTTAACTATAGGGAATTGCGAAATTGTTAATGCCCGTAGTCTATACATAACGCCAATCTAATGTTAGACCACAGATAAGACATATTATATACTGAAACATACATATAAACTTAACACATATAAATATATACTGACTGAAACAGATATATATATATATACATATATACTGAAGATAAGATATATATTCCGTGTGAGACGATGGAAATTCTTCCGTAGAATGAACACGTTTATACAGAAAATTCAGCGTTTTTGTAACACTACTACAGAAATAGAACAATACACAACAACACAACTAAACAAATAGAATTTTAGTAATCAGTAATAAATAAAATATTTATAAAAATAAATAAATATTTTCGGACACATTTTTTACACAACATTCTCTAGTCCCAAACTAAGCAACTTCTTCTAAAGCTTGTACTATGGGCACTAGAAAACTGATAAACTTACTTAACCATACTTTTCTTTTGTAAATAAATACGTATTATACATATATATATAAACACCCAGACACTGGAAAAACACGATGTTCATCACACAATATTTTTCCAGTAGTGGGGATAGAACCCACGCCCTCGGGTACTGCCACTGCGCAGGAGGCAGGGTTACTTCTCCCCACGCCAATCGGGTCGTCAATAATGAAGAATCGTTTTCCATGTCGAGATCTTTATGCAAGAATAATCATCTTCTGCAGGAATTGCAATGCTCTTCGACATCACCGACGAACGTGGAGGTGCTGCCATGATGGAGACATGGGGAAACCCCTCCATCTGCCACTTTCCCCTGTTGAATTTCCTACAGGCAATGCCTATGCCCCACATGGCACTGGTCTACGCCGGATTGTGGTTTGGTAACTATTTTTTATGTGACAAAGTGGCAAACGAGCTGGCGGTTCATCTAATGTTAAGTGATAATCGCCGCCCATGGTCAAAGTCAAATATCTTTATTCAATATAGAAGCATTCACTTACTTATTGATAGTCAAAAAACTCTACCACCGGTTCGGAAGGGAAGCCACTGACCTGAGAAGAACCGGCGTAAGAAACTCAGCGGGACATTTTTTTTTTTTACTTGCCAAAATAATTACAAATATGTGTACAATTATTAAATTCCACTCGTTTTGCACACTAGTTTTGCAACACCCGTGAAGTGGGCCCCGGCAACTTCACTCAATAGACGAAATGCAAAGGCGTTCTTCTACTTCACACCGGCCTCAACGGTCATCAACTCACTGTCGATTTATTAATCGATCGTTTACGTTACAAATTAAGTGCCATCTACCGCAATTTCTGCGATCTAACTAATAGATTGTGGTTTTGCAGATAAAGTTTAGACTAACACCCAGATGTCGCTGTCAGACTTAATGGCGGGCAAAACTTGAATTGAATTTCCTCGAATTGGTTTGAAATGTTTTTAATTGCGTATGAATTGATTAAGTTGAATAGGTGAAAATATTTGTGTTTAAAGTAATAATAAAATAAGGAACTCGCTTGTTGTGAATAAAATTACAATATAACGCTTATCATCTTTATAGTCATCTCTATATAGTCATCTTTAAACCAAAATAAATTTACAAGCAATCAATTTTTCAGCCCGTGGCAGTGAAACTTTGGAGAGATGCTCAATAAAATTATTTTTAATTTAATTTTTGTCTCTTTCTCTTCACGTTTTACAATGTATAAGTAAGTGTAATGCTTCTATATTGAATAAAGATATTTGATTTTGAATTTGAGAAACAAATAATAAAATTTACGACGCAACAATAAGATGCTACTGAAATATAAAAAGACCCACTAGTTTCAGTGTTGTTGAATGTTGGTATTGACTTGGACATTTCCAGGTGCTCTAGGGATTGCCCTCGGCCACAAGTTCCGCGCTAGCTCTGCCATCTTCACAACCTGCTTCTGGTACCTTCTACTGATTGAGAAGAGCTATTGGAACAATCACAGCTACCTGTTCGGCCTCGTCGCCTTCTTGCTAACCTTTACTCGAGCCAACTGTTGCTGGTAAGTGACCAGTGCCCCCATAACATGATATAAATTGTAACGTGTTTATCTATCGTGCTTATTAAAACAATTTTTCTCGAATAAAGGTAGAAAATTACGTTTTGTTTTTGATGAGTTGTATTTGCCACATCACATTCTCGGAGTAAAAAATTTATAAGCAGCAGGCTCCATGAACACCTGCAACACCCGAGGGCTTACAAATGCGTTGCCGGCCTTTTGGATAGAGTATGCTCTCTTCTTCAAGGTTCCCAGGTCATAACGATTCGGAAAGACCGGCGGCGGCAGCTGGTTCCACAGAGTGGAACGCTATATTAAAGAGGGGGGGGGGGGGCATCCGGCAACCTTACTCACCAGACTAAACGCAGAAGCATAAAGCTTCCATAATACGCCGGTCTTCTGTGACGTATCCCCTACCACGTATAAGACTGCCACGAAAAACGATCCTGACCCACATCCATCGACCGCCCGCACATTACGTCAATCCATCTAGTGGGGGATCATAGCATCACTTTAAAAACACTTACGCTCGGGTGCTGAAACAGGTGCTGATCATCGTATTATCGTCAACTAATCAGCTGTCAAATGGCTTGTCAAATATCATTTGAATTGCCAAAAGGATGTTTAAACTCTTTGAATTGATCATTCTAAACATTAAGACGGTCATTCTGGTCTATTGGGAGAGTTTAACCATCCTTTTGGCAACTAAATTGAAATTTGAAAAATCATTTTACATCTGATTAGTTGACACCTAAGATGATCAGCGTTTCAGAAAGCGGGCGTTGATATTTTAGGACACTGATCTGACTTTCTATTAACCATACTGTGAAACCGTATATTTAATAGGAAGTAAGTTCAAAACATTTATTACAGGTCCGTTGACGCAATCCGAAACCGTTCCGTGGCGTCGCAGACGGTCCCGTACTGGAACTACTTCATTTTAAAGTACCAGTTCTTCATCCTCTACTTCATGGCCGGCCTGAAGAAGGGCACTGCGGAGTGGTTGACGGGCTACTCCGTGCGAAACCTCAGCGAGCACTGGGTATTTGAGCCTTTCAAGTACGTATTTTAATTTAAATTTAATTTATTTGGATATTAGGTTCTGGCAACAAATCTTATTTACAATTATAGCGACGCTAAATGTTAAATGAAGCTTACTACAATTGAAAGTTGCACCTAAATTGTTTAAGCCGTTTCTGAGATTAGCGCGCACAAACGCACAGACAAACAGACAAAGAGATAAACAGACAAAAATTTAAATCGTTTTGGGTTCTACTGCGTTTGATACAGGCCCCCAATAATAGTTTTCCTCGAATATCTTCCATATACAGACAACGATCAGTTCCATTTTCATTATATATATTGATTGATTGATGAGCCTTCCTAGTTCGTCAATATCAAATAGCCATATCATGTGAGATTTAAGGCCGATCAGTTTCAGCCACTCCATTTCATCAGAATTAATTAATTGTTGGTGTATTTATTGACCTTGATTCAGATTGTTCCTCACGGTACCGCAAATCGACTACCTAATAGTCCACTGGTTCGTCTTCGCGTTCGACCTGACGGTGGCCATCTGGATGATGTGGTCGCGCACTCGCCACCCCGCAATGGTCTTCTGCGCGCTATTTCACCTGATGAATAGCAGACTCTTCAGGATCGGTGAGTTTATGACGGTCATCTTAACTCGGAGAATAGACAACGGAATACTGTAAAGTAACCAGACACCATTCTATTTTGGTCGCAATATCTTTAAGAACTGTATCTTATGATAACTCGGTAGTTCTGTCACAAAGTTAATAACTTTAAAATTGGCGGAAGTAGGGTTAACTGACTTTCAGACGTCTAACAAGTATTCTGTCCGGAACGAAAATTAAGAATTAACGCGACAAATCCGTAAACAAGCTTACTTTTTTTTACGAAACTATCTTTTGTTAGTTATTAATAAAAACAAGCCCTTTCATTTAATACCCACGACCTACGGGCTAGGTTAAAATTAGTTATGTGGAAATTAAAAATCGCCATTTTATAGCGGCCTCCATCTAGGATTAAAAATGGCGGCAGGTTATCGTGGATTGTCACGAGACCCAAACTATCGTGGGCTCAATCGACTGATCGAAGCTGGGAAGTGGCCCAAATTTAACTTGCAAGATTAAATTACAGACACCAGGACAGGTGAAACTAAATAAAAACCTGTAATTATAGTGTAATTTAGTACTGTAGGTACCTGATGTTATTTACCGCATTAAATCTTAAATGTAAAGGAAGAGTGTGCAAAGATATTTAACACTTCAAAGATTAGATGATAAAACATACCTATTTCAGTTTTGAGATATTTTAGCGTTTTCAAAGCGAACTAAGAATCCGGAAAAACTACTTAATACATCCATTACCTTTAAAATAACACTACCCAAAGGAGTTATTCACGTCAAGCAATGATGATATTACTGACCACTTTAATTGACCTTAACAAGGTGTAAACGCCACTAACAGTTACATGGTTGCCTATTTAACATGCAATCATCTATTTTCTTACGTCTAAAAATGAAACGAATTTATGGGCAAAGATAATGGAATGTCACGAAAATATGGAACTTTTAACGACCAATTAATTACCGGAGTAACATAGTTTATTTATTTGTATTTGTTAATTAATTAATTAATTAAATTAATTAATTTCGTAATTTAATTGGCAAAACTACAAATAAATAAATCGGTTTGGGAATAAATATGACAAATAATTTTTAATAAATTGATTAAATATATTTCTAATGATTTTAAATTATTCAAATAATTTTAATAACTATCGAATTATTAAAATTTATTTGCAAATATGTCCTTCAATTCACGTTCTTCTCAGGTTCGTTCAAAACTATGCTGGACGATTAAATTATTTGGGCGGCAATGGCGCCGAAATATATAAGTATCATAAGGAATTTGCTTTTACTTTACTTTTTCTTTTTACTGTTTTGAATGGCAATAATATTCTAATTTGCAGGGATGTTCCCATGGGTTTGTTTAGCAACGATGCCCCTATTTTATCCTTTCGACTGGCCCAAAAGAGTTTCCATGCATCTCAATGGAATTTATTTAAAATGCAAAAAAGGAACTTGTAAATTCTTTCATAAGTTCAAAAAATCCGAGACCAATGTTAAAACTACTAAGGAATCTTTAAGTTTGCCAGAAGATGATGAAATAAAAGCGATAGAGAAAGAAGACGAACAAACAAACGAAACTTATTTGCCAAAAAAAGTTGACACCTGCACAAATAGTAATGAAAAAATTGAAGGCAAAGTCAACGATGGTAATATCGAAACAGATAAATTAAACGAGACAAGTGATCAGGAATTTTTACACGAGGTGGTTGAGAGAAAAAAAATTATAACATGTTTATTTATAGGTCTATACGTGTTCACACAGGCTTTTCTGCCCTTTTCACATTTCATAACTAAGGTAAACACTGTTTATTTGATTGTTTATAAAGTAGTCGTATTTTATTATAGACATAAATAAAGTTCAACCATAATTTAAAAAATCATCAAAATTATGATTGAATATATCTCGGAGCTGCATATCAATTCTTATCAAGCACGCGGAATAAATAAACTGCAACATGAATTATTTCCATAATTATATTTATAATGTTTTTTAAGCACGGAACCAGCTCGTAATCATTATTGATGATGACAGTTAAATTAGAAAGCATGCATTAAACAGAAAACAGTCATCATAATATATTTTATAAAGTTTGTTATTTTATTTATTTATGTCATATATTTATTAGGGTTCATTCGCAATTTCCCCACAAATTTAGATCTGGTTAATTTTGTCATGGTTAAAGTGCTGTAGCATTTTGATTGTGACATTACCCACCCATCAGGGCTACAATAACTGGACGGACGGACTCTATGGTTACTCGTGGGACATGATGGTGCACACTTGGGACGTGCACTCGGTGGTGGTCAAGGTCGTGGACAACGACGGACCCTCCGAGCTCTTCGTGGACCCGTACCACTTCACGCCGAACGGACGCTGGACCAGGCACGGCGATATGGTGCACCAGTACGCCCGCTGCCTCAAGGAGAATCTGCTGAAAACGCGGCAGATGAACAATGGGATCATCGGAGCTTCCTCCAGAAACATCTCGGTGTATGTCGACGTGTGGAGCTCCCTCAACGGTCGATTCACCCAGCGCATGTTCGATCCGAAAGTGGATCTGCTGAACGTCTCCTGGTCGCCGTTCGCACCTGTATCGTACCTGATGCCGCTTCTAGACGAAGCCTTGGAGTGGCGGGAGTACTTGGTCTCGATGCGAGAGACCGTCCATTCGTGGAATGACCACGCCGACGTCGTATTCATTGCCGACTTTCCAGGTCAGTGTCTCATTGAAATAGTAATTGGAAATCAGGACTATTATAATCTTGATTTTGTCACAGAAATTCATTCTTTTGTGTGAAGTTATCAACAGGAATTTTATTTATCAACTTTTCCTTCCAGGATATGAATATGAAAAATACATTCCCACCGAACTTCGTAACGTGACCCTCACTGTCTTGTATGGGCTGGTTGTCTTCGAGGCCGAAGTGGCCGAACATGAGATTGGTAAATCCTATCAGCTCAAGCCAGGGAACTCGATGAAGCTCTCCTCAGAAATCTTCCATAAAGTTCTCAACATCGGTGAAAAGCCCGCTTTTTACATGTACACGTTTTTCAACAGCACCGAAGTCGAGAACAACAACAAAACAAATCCCGTACCAAAGTTACCAATCACAGAAGAGCTGCGGAGACGCTTCTACAATATGTTACGTTTCGGGAAAGATCTCGTGTTGAGCTTGTTCAATTTATTTTTCAATGCAACACAATGTCAATAGTTCAATACTACAAAACTACTTATGTCATTACACGCAGTTCTTTATCAGTGTTGTTTGTTCGAAGCGTTTTTGTATGTAACCACTAACCATTATTTATTAAATGTCGTTTATTTTATGCGTCATTTTTATTTACCTGTGGGAGCCAGCAGCGATCATAATATGTAATGTGTTATTCTGAAGCAAATCTGTTTTCTTTAAATATTGTAACTTGTGTAAATGTAACGCAATGCTAAGACTGAATACACAACGACCATAAATTAACGTCACTGATAAATCATTTATTGTTTTACAACAAGTTTTGGATTTTTGGTTTGTTACATGTTAATAACATGACAGGATTTATAATTGCTATCCTAGTTATTATTTTATACATCAAATTAAATACTAAAGTACTTTAAGACACCCGCTTTACGTACGCTTTCTAGAATTTACCTAACCTATGTTAACAATTTCAGTTTGCACCAAAACTGGCCCAAACAGTTTGTTGATGAAAGTATCCTAAAACAGCCTTTTCGCAAAGTCCTCTATACGGATACTTCCACCAAAAAGGCATTTCCACTTCCTCTTTTTTTGTAAATTTGCTATCGGTACTCAAGTGAACTCCCGCACTAATAGAGCCACTTCTTCTTTCTCGTGGATGGGTTCAGATGTGAACCACATCGCATGTAGCCCTCTTGGCAGCATAATTAGTTGTTTTCTGATCCGCTGCTCAATTGCAGAGGATAACGAGCTGGGTCGGAAAGAATATGGACTCAATGACCGTGATATAAATTGCCCTTATTATTTCACCATTAAGGCTTAGCTCACCTTTGAGCCGCGGTCATTGTTTTTAGACGTTTATTGTTAACTTTTTTTTCGTCAGGCCGTAAGCTCGCCTCCAAATCATTATTATCACTTGTTTTAATCACAAGGTGAGTTATGGAGTGTTATGTCTGTGATTGATGAGTTGGATTTTTTTTAGATTTGTGACACCCGAATTAATAAATAAATAATAAATAATTAAAATGAAAATAATTTTAGCTATAGCTATATTTTCTCAGAAGAAGAAAATATATTATTTTTATTGATCTCAAAAGCAATGCTACTACAGCGAAAGAAGTTTATATTATATTTGAACTCAATTAGATGCCAGACAACAAATCTGTATAAAATTTAAATCAATTATTGTTAATTGTACAAAGCTTATCAATAAAATGCACACTTGCATGCGAATAACTTTGTAATTATCCATATAAGTAACCTTAATTTTTTTTGTCAGCTGTGGTTACCAACGATATTTTTTCAATAATTCCAAAGAAGTTTAGGAATTATAATTAGTGACTTACCTTATAATTATTAGTCATGAATTGTAACATTAGCATTGTGTCCTTTAAAATTTGTTGTAATCTGTGGATCAAGAGCAGAAACCTGCCTTTGACAGATTTGTATGTCGAAAAGATAGCATTTCCTCAGAATCTGAGAAGCGATATGGCGCGTTGTGCGCACAGAGTATAAATAAAATAGTGTCATGAAGTCATGAGTGTTTGTGATCAGTATGGACTGTGAAGAGAACGTCGACTTCATTCATAGTTCCGTCGGCGCTGCGACGGGTTAATTAAGAACGGGCTCGGTCGACGCCTCGTCAACTCGTCATCGCGAATATATAGTCACTTTTAAGACAATCCGTGCTCATTATTGGAATTAACGCCGATAAGGCGGCACGCCGTACCTCCCGACTAACATTGTCATTTTAGTCATCTGTGATATACATTAGTAACCTGTTTAAAGATTTTTAGGTTAATCTTTTACCGGTGATATCAGTGTGACGTCCCAATTGAAAACCAACGGTAGACTGTGTTTCTTTATCAGTGTGGATTCGTAGAACTATTATAATAACTGAGCTATGGAGGCTTCCATAAATTATAACTTGGATGTCACGCCGAATTACTCATACATTTTCGAATTCGAAAATGAGTTCATTCATCAAAATTATAGGAAATGGATGACAGAAAATTGGACTGTGGCTTTCTACTATGTTGGAATTTATATGGCTTTCATTTTTGGAGGTCAATATTACATGCAGAATCGTCCCAGGTAAGATTATTTTTTATTATTTCGCTTCTTGTGCGTGGGTTCTAATTAAATATTATTTTTATTATGTATAATTCATAAAACAAAATTTCATACAACAGTAAAAATTTCTCATTTTATATTCATTTATATTTTAACAAAACCAGTTTTGGCTTTAAATAAAATATATTAAAAAAATGTATAAAACTTCAAAATTACACTGATTATCAGCTGTAGTATAACGAAATGAGTGCTGTAGTAATACTAAGTAGGAAATACTATATATACATATATTATGTATGAAACTAGGAATTAGTAAAATCATTTTTTTATGGAAAAAATTATACATAACTATGGTTTTCTAAGGATTAATTTAAGTTTTTAGTGTCTTTCTCGGTGATTCACAGAAGTGAAATCAAAATTAATATAAAGGTTTTCACATAAAATTGTATTTAATTTCAATAATTTTTGTATTTGTATCACATGGTTGATGATGATGTTATTCATACTGATCGAGTTTTCTCCATTCTATTTTATAAAATAGTGTGAACAATATTGTTTCGTAAAATATAATTTTTTTGATTGAATTAAAAAGAAGTGCATATTATTTTTTGAAGTATTATTACATATAAGCTTTCTAACAGGTTATAATAAATTTTGTAATCAACTTAGTCATATCAGGAAATGAATGTTCAAAATACAATAGTTATTATGTCACTGCATGTAATATTCACCTCAAAATATTTGTATATAATAATATGATGATTTAATTTACATTTCTTTATTTGCCAACATCTTCAAGATTTACATTTTAATTGGAGTTTCTAATAAGTAATGCTTAAAACGGTTGTTTTAAATAAATTTGTGTTTGCAGTCTGCCAATGCAATTAATTTCAGTCCTAGATAAGTGTACCAATAGATATTTGAATTGGCATTTTTCTTGCCAAAAATTAAGTCCCATCATTGTTTTTGTTTATAAACTCTTGCTACATCACACAAATTACGATTGAACAATTTCATTGTGATACCCACATGAACTAAAAGAAATCCTTAAAATTTATTGTAAAGCACACTTCTGATTTAATTACCAATTTAATATATACTTAATTATTTTTAAAACATACTTCGGATTTAATAACAAAATTTAAATTACATAAATTCATGTGTATTACTTGTTATTTCATATTTAAAATTATTATCTAGATTATGCAATTAATTTAAGTACCAATATTAAAGTTGAATTTTTACATAGCCAAAATATTAATTTTCTGTTATTATTTGACCCAACTTCATGTTCTTGCATATTATTTAAAAATTATACAATCAGTCATTTTATTTTCTCCCAAGAATTTATTTAATACCCATATTGAAAATATGAAATAAAAATAGCTATGCAGAATACAGTAGAACATGCAAGTGTTTACATGATGTTGGTATTTCAGTGTGTAATACAATATGTATAGCGAACAACTGACTGAGTTATACATATTCCTTTTTTTATAGAAAAATGTTGCCCTTACTTTATATTCATTTTAAACAAAAATAAAGATACATCAAAACCAGAGTTAAAGTTCTGATCACATTCTGTCCATCTCTGAATTATAGAGAAGTAATTTTGTGAAGATAATTTTTTAATGTTTATTCCAAATTAATATATCTAAAATGTTTTACTTATCAAACATAATTTATAAAGTTAGTTTTCTGCGTTAAAAAAATTTGGATAATTATTGCGCGCGACCTTCGGTTTCGCATTTTGATAATTTAAGACTTACATCTCAGAGAAACAAATGACAACCAGTCGAAGCTAATCGCGAAACGTCAGCAAGTCAGGTGGAGGCAAATGTTATGCTATTTTATTGGAAGAATAAATAGATCTGTACCGCGTGGGCGATGTAGGTCGGCTCTCGATCTAGGGTTTGGGGGGGGGGGGGGGTGGTAAGGGAACTTGGCAGGGGCCCGGTAGGGGCCTGCCGGGGGCTCGGCAGGGCTTCTGAATGAGCGGGCCCGCAACTGATCTGCAGTATTATGTAACAGCCACCCCATTCCCGATCCCGCTATTGAATCAACCGATTGTTGTTTTGGATTTTCATTTCACGAACACTCGTTATTTGTACATTTGGCGTCTTCAATGTCGAGTGGTGCTCGTCAAAGAAGTTTTTAGAGAGTTGACATAATCTATCAAAAATATTTCGTTAACACTTATCTGAACCGTAATTCTACAGACTTTTTGATGATGTTATAAAACTTTTGGGCTAAAAGGACTCCACAGGACTTAAATAAACATGGAACTTTATGCATTCGTGCGCATAAATTATCTTTTTAAGTTCTTTTATTTAATTAAAACTTTTCAAGTGACGTGAAATTCTAAAATCTATCCAAAAATATAAACCAGAAGAATTGTCAAGCATATATGCTCAAATGGACGATCGATATATCTTCTTTTTCATTTATCTCATCTATTTTTTTCATTTTTATTTAAGAAAAACAAGACAATTGAAAAAATTAAAAAATTCTGTAAACGAACAAAGTTAAAATTTTTACCGTCAAAATATCATTGAAATAATATACAAATAATTTTAGTATGTATTTTTAATGAAATTTTGAGATTTTTTGTACGACATTAATTAAGGCGTATAGCATAAATTCTGCTCCATCATGGCTTTTCTTTTTTTTTGGCTCTTGACAGCCATATTTTCATGACTCAAAGAAAATAGTGTATAATCAATTTCATGAGATCGCACCAGTGAAATTTTAGGTAATAATTACACACTGCTGATTATATCTCTGAGCAATGACAAGCTATTTTGATACTTTACTATAGTGATTTAAGGATCAATTTCTCACTTCATTATTATTGCCACGGAAATTGAACACGTGCACCGCCGAAACCAAAAGCCGTTATATATCGTCTAGGGTTGTCATATGTAATTTTTACGGAAGTCCCACTTCCTCACAGACTTTAAATGGACTTAAAATCAAAGTATGTGCCATTTTGTCGTCCGTAGGCCGACTCAAAGTCAAATTATGTGTTCTTTTGTGGTCGGTGAGGTAGCCGGGGCCCACTTTAAACGATTGGCAACGTATGTCTATAGTAATACTTAGTTCACCTGGTGTTAAATGATTGATGTCGCCCTATAAAAATCTTATTCCTTCAAAGTAGATCCCATATCGGAAATTCCGTTCCTAAGCTCCCTCATTTGTTTTGCAAAGGCAATAAATCATGTTGATCATATCGCCCGTTCGAACGCGTGACTAAGATAAAATTTGCATTATTCGAAGGTGACGCTAAGGCGACCGAATAAGTGTTTATGACATAATAACATATCTATATCGTGGGTTGCTTGAATCTGATATATGTATATCGAAATATATAGAAATACTAGCCACCGCCCCGGCTTCACACGAGTGCAATGATACATATAAACCTTCCTCTTGAATCACTCTACACTCTATCAAGTAAAAAAAACGCATCATATCCGTAGAGTAGTTTTAAAGATCTAAGCATACATACAGACAGACAGCGGGACGACTTTGTTTTATACTATGTAGTGAAATGCGAATTTTGTTGTTTCTCCTCCCCATATCTCAGCATGCTGCGGCATTTACTAATTCATCGATGATTACCATATCTCAATTGATTTATTCCAACAGTTACATGGCTAATGGCAGACTAGCAAGTAGTCTTGATTTTTTATAACACATCCACTTGACGCCGGTCTTCTGTGAGGTCGTGGTACTTACCCGGACGGGCCTCCCCATTCGTGCAACAGCCACTGCTGCGTGGCCCTACCACAGTCAAAAAGATTACTATGATTCATCATCATCATCTTCGTCAGCTCGTGTCAGCCCGCTGCTGAGATATGTTTGCTCGCAAACGGCCAATGCTCATATTTGAACTGCACATTTACTGCCACCTTCGTTTCGTCCGGTCGTCACCCTAACCGAAACCGCCGGACGTCGAACTCGAAATTAGCTTGGGCGAGCGATTTTTTCGCTGCCCACCAAATTACCGCACCTCGTGCGTCTTGAGATACTTAACTCCGGCATTAAATCGACCGTTCCTTGTTGCATACGTTGAGTGATAGCGAGAAGTCCAGCCGCAGAAGGTGAGATTCTGATGATTTAAGTTCTCGATTGGTTTTATGAGGTTTCAGCGCTCTGCACTTTATAGCGTTGTGTAGTGAATTGTCTGTCTGTTTAAATGACAAGATGATCTATTACTAATATAGGTGCAGCTCCTTAGTAATATATGTGTCGCGTTCGAACACCTAAATAGAAAAAAGTATATAACGTAAAATCACGTCCATTCCTGATTTAATGACGAATGAGGATGTACAAATTTTTGATACTTTGTGACAAGGTATAGAGAATGCATAATACAGCGATTATGGGTATCGGAATGCATAAACCGCGGCTTAGATATCGAATATTCTGGCTGTTAACAGTTAATACTGTATATATATTGAAACAATTTTATAATTTAATATATAAATATGTAGGAGATAGTGTCATCTCATATCATACCTAAGCGTGAAAGTACTTTATAACTATGCTAATTATTTACTATTACAGAGACTTGAAATTAAGACATAGTAGGTAGTAAATTTTAAGTCTTTACAAGATGTTGACGTGACATAAGACATAAAAAGTAAAGTAAAGTAACAGCCTATACATGTCCCACTGCAGGGCAAAGGCCTCCTCTATATAGAGGGTATCAGGGCATAGTCCACCACGCGGCCCCACTGCGGATTGGTGGACTTCACATATTTTCGAAATATATATATTTTTTTGTTATTATTTCGAAAATATGCAGGTTTCCTCACGATGTTTTCCTTCACCGCGGAGCACGTGATAAGTCAGCACTTAAAGTTAAAAACTTCATTGGTGCCGGCACCGGGGATCGAACTCAGGTTGCTCGAGTATATTGAATTAAAGGCGAGCGCCCGGACACTGAGCTATCACGGCTCTCATAAGACATAAGTTAAACGTAATGAAATAATAATAGACGAGGAGACGTTATTTAA